TGTGCACGGTTCGACGCTCGAATCGAGAGGCGCAGAGGTAGCCGAACAAAGCGCAAAGTCGTGTAGATCGTACGGGCAGAGGGGATGACTCTAACTTGCTAAGAATTAAAGTGAACCGCCCGGGGGTAGCTAAGGGTCGTAGCCTCCAGCGATTATACTAATAGTCGGGGCGTAGACAAGCTGATAGGGGGAACAGGGGCACTGGCAACCTACTAATTGTTTTACACGGCGGAAACTTCGTTTGGATAATTCCCGTGCACCTTAACGCGTTTAAACTCTCGCAAAGAATCTATGGAATTAAAACTACGTACGCTTCCTGACGATGCGGAGCTTCGATGTTTCTGTGAAAACTATACTCGGATGAAAAACCGTTTAAAAATTATTGAGTAACGAGACGAATCTCGGGCTTTGGTCGATGAACCATTCAGAGGCCGACGATTCTTGTGGATCGTTGATGGATCCAAATGGTTGGAGAACAAGATTATGTTGAGAAATAATGTTAATACACTTGAGGGGGTCTTCTACTGTAAAAAGCATTTTTTTTATAAACAATCTATGCAACTTCTTGCGTCATTCCATATATGTTTGTCACTCTTTCAATAATATTTACAAATTTTTATAACGAGAAATAGTCAAAATTAGTGGTAGTGAATAGAAAAGGTGTTCTCAAGCAGGATACAGTTTTCGATGGGGTTGATCGACGTGCAGTCTAGCACATTTTTCCTTTGATCTAGAATAAAAAATCGAACGACATATTGTTCGTAATAATACTAACTAGTAAGAACTAACATCCTTCGTAAAGTTTCATCAAACTCTTATGCTGTAAAAATATTGTCAAATATCGCTTCTGGTTTTACCATTGTACGTCAGTCTTCCCCCTTAAATTAATTTTCTACGCATAGTAACAGGGGCCCGTATTCTATCTCGTTAAAATCGCAGGACACGTTGGAATCATGTCTCGTAAACAACGTCTGAATTTCGAAGAACTAATTGAAGAGTAATCGTTGCAGCCAGCGACACAATTTTGTATCGTTACAAATACATGGTTAACACGTTTCAGAGACAAAAGAAACGCCATGGCTCGCACCAATGGCCGAACCGCGGGAGGATGGCGCGTCGATGCGGAAGAAAGCCCGGCAGCGCGAGGGCGAACAATGGCCTTCTTCCTGACAGGTTGATCCTGCTTGAGTAATGTTGAAATCTGGGGCGTTCCTGGGAAAGGCCACCTGACCTCCGTGCCCTTTCATCAGCGTCGCTGGACCCTCCAGGACGAGTCATTCCATTTTCCTTGGCGCGAATCCATCGTTGGATTAATGACGTCACGACGCCGTCACGGTACACGGTGCTCCCGATATAGCGTATAATCGACGGGGCATTCACCCTTTTTAACCTTCCTCCGGGAACGATCGCCCGAGACGCCTTTGTCGATCGTTAAATCCGCCGTTCTCCGTAGACGAGACCGACAAAACAGATTAAGTGCCGATCTACGAGTGATCAATTAAACGGGATATCTCGGTAAAAACGATAAGTCCCTCGGCCCGTCTTAAAGTATTTGCGCGACGCGACGCGCCAGGTGTAAAATATTACGAAATCCACGTACCGGCGATCGTGCGGTCGCGGCTACCTCGTCGCGGACAAAAGTCAAAATTATTGGAACTTGAACGCGACAGCGAAACGTTGCCACGGGACCGACGGATACCGTTTGGGGATGGGCACGGCGGTCGGGTAATGGAAGATGTGATAATTTAGTATGCACGACGGAGTTTATTTGAATTTTATTGGCGGGCTCGCTGTCACGTGGGTCAAGGCGTAGGAGTGGTGGTTCGTGCCACAAGGGGGTCCCTCTTTCGCTTTATCGGATCGGGGGAGAGACGACGCTCCTCCCGTTTTCTCGTTTCCCCGAGGGGACACTTCCGTCCGACCAATATCGCCTCCTCTCTCTCCTTCACCGTTACTCCGACGACCGCCGTCTCTTTTTCTATCCTTCACCCTCTCCTGGGCCGCTTCCAATATCTTTCTAAGTTCTCCGAGCCGGCCATGAATAAACTATTCCCCGACTTTGAATATCTGAACGTTTTGCGCGGGAATGGGACCACCATCGAGGGACCGACCGCAGAAAGGACGAGAGAGGATGATATCGATTGATCGACGCGATACGTGGAAGGGGATAACTGCGGAGTCGAAGGTACTATACTTCAATTTTTTGGAAAACGATGCCGGGGGGTGAGAGGATGGCGGAGGACTGCCTTGAGACCACGTTGAATATGGACGAGCAGTTTCCGTACATTTCGTTGTATAAAATATTACCGATAACGCGACACGATGAAAACGTTCGACGTTCCTTTATCCCTATCTTTAGCATATCCGCTCCAGGTTCACCCCGATCGTAGGACGATTAATTTTTCGTACCGCTGACGGTGATGAAATCAAGCAGTCAGCATAATGAGTAGCGTTGTCTGCCGTGCAATTCATCGGATGTCGTAAAAGGCGAGGCGAAGAGAACAGAGCGGCGACGAGGAGGGGGTGGCGAAGGACGGTGGCGGGGTTATTAATATTCAGAACGAGGAACGGGAGTCGAGAGCAGTGCCGAGTGACAAATACCTCGCGCCCCGTCCCAACTCCGGAACGGCTCAACTCTGTAATTAACGCTAATCTCCCGGCCGTTCCTCCGACACCGTACCACCCACTTCGTCTTCTCTCCCGCCTCTGTACTTACGGGAGCTCGAGGGTGGCCTTAAACAGGCTCTCGAGTCGATTCTCGGGCGAAGAGGATCTATGATTCCTCCCCGGTGGAAAATGGTGGCTCGAAAAGTGGCCGGTATCGCGTCGAGGCGAACGATTCAAAATATTTCTGCACGTTTCCTTTACGACTGAATAAAAACAAAAAAAAGAAACGGCAACCGGTGATCCGTGCATATTTTTGCAAACATTATACCGCGGGGCGCTGTTCATTCGTCATGCGTTGTGTACATTTGAATTTACAAAACAGAAAACTGAATTACTGGCCTCGCGTACAGACGTAAGAGTAAATTGCCGTTACAGGGATGCCGCGATGTTTTAAAAACTTTTGATTACGCGTGCAACGCTCCCCGCGAAGCAGCCAAACGCTCGAATCGCATCGGATGGGAACAACCTGATTGATTATACCTGCGCTACGCGAGACTGGAAAAAGACAAAACGTAAGGCGAGTTTACGGAATTAACATCGAACGCGTGGTAAAATGGCAAGTGCAAGTAGGAGCGTCCCTGCGAGGTCAAAGGACGAATATTCCTTCATCCACTTCCTGCGATATGGTCGTCGCTGGTGGTTGCGCGCCTCGGTTACCACTTGGTGGACTAAAATAGCGAGTCAGCCAACCGCGAATATCCTTGATTAAACGCAAAAAAGCTCCGAGACCTACGCTCGCCTTGCGCTCTGGCCGCGACTGCGTTTTTTCGCCACCCTCCGCCATCACGATGGTTGGGTTTGAGCGTGGAATTGGATTGGCCGCCTTTCCTCTCGTTCTCTTTCCCCTTTTAGTTCTTTTCCCTCTTCCGCGGGAAAGAAACGCCGGGTAGTTCCGAAGCTTCTGGGGACTCGATTAGAGCCAGCATGTGACATCAGAAGCACGTGAGTACATTCGTCCCCAGGTATTCCTTCCGGTTGAATTGTTATACGCTATCCTAACTTCTTGGAGCACAGAGTGCACCTGTTCGTTCGATCATCGTGATACATCGTGCGATCAAATCTCACTTTGTGCCAATCTCGAGAGATTCGATCGCTTCGTTACGCCACAATGCTAATAACGAACATATTTTTTTCCTTCGAAATGTTACTTTGCGGGCCATCTGAATTGCGTTGATGGCGGAATCCTTCGAAACAGCATCCTCGAATCTACCGTACCACTCTGTTATACGAATCTTCCAAACGATACAATAAATTATCGCAATGCGTTGGAAGTTTGCGACGAGAGGTTCTCGTCTTTCGAAAGTAGAATCGTGATAATCGAGGATGACGCTGCTCGAAACAATACGCTCGACGTCCATCGTATGAGCATGAGGCGTGAGTTTCGTATGCCAACTAGGGGTGATGTCAGAACATGGTGATATATGGTTGTAGCAAGCACGGGAAATACCACGTGTCCAGCCACCTTACACACGGTTCTAGAAGGATTAGGGTCCTACTACATTCTGAAGCACGTTGTTTCGTAACGCAATTCAATTTCTATTGTCATTGACCTTGGCATATTGATCAAGACACGATCACGTTCAGACATTACACCTGCGTAATCACTGCACGATTACTTTAGTTACTCTAACTGAAATAGCTATTATTTTCTGTATGTACATGGTACAGTAGCATCGCGTGACATCTTAAGACTTCGTATTTAAATGAGTCTCGAATATCACGTCTTCATTGAACATTTTTTTTACTTGTGATTTGTTCAATTTGTTCTAGCGTTTCAATACATATCAGATTAGTTCTTAAATTCGACGTTGTTCGTGAACAGAGGACGTTGTATTCAGTCCTCGAATGACGAATCGGTAACATAGTTTTGCTGCGAACTTCATAAAATGTTAAATCTATTCTAAATCTCAACCACAGACGAGATATATAAGCAGACGTTACGTCCAATGTATGTTTTCGACCCATTTATTTCTATGAGGCTTCGGAGCACCATTATCATTTCGTTGTCGCTCGCAACGTTATCAACCGGGTATAAAAAATGATCGCTCGATATGGTAGGAAATGAAACTATAGGAATTAAGTGCCGATAAACAAAATTTCTTTGTGTTCAACAGAGGAAAAAATGCCTTTTGAAAGTCACTACAGGAGACGCTCGAGTACTACACTAAAAATTGATCTTAAAGCCGCCCTTTCAACAAAACGTCCAACAGACATTGGCTACCGCCATATGACGACATGGTCTGTTCCAATCAAAAACTACTTTGCTGCCACATGAGAATCTTATCGTTTCAATGAGAATGGGATCTTAGTCTGACATGATAAGATATTATTGAATGGTCGACACTGTTGACAGCCTACGAGTTGCAATGGCTACATTAAATTATACATTTCTTAATTTCATTCTCCTATTTTCAACGGCATTCAATACCGTTAATAGTTATCGTGCTGTGGTTGTTATCCATGGTGTACTTACTGGAAGCAGCAGCATGGAACTTATTAGCAACAGGATACAGGAGGTAAGCAATTCACATGAAAACAAAGGAGATTCAAAATGTCGTATCTATATAAATTTAATGGATAAACATAACTATAGCTATTCGATATGTATACCTATTTTTCGATGGGCATAAAGTAAAAATCGATTTTAGATGCATCCTGGAACTGAAGTTTATAATATCCCCAGATATGCAGGATGGAGTAGCCTAGAGCCAATGTGGCGACAAGTGGAGGAGATAGGCATGGATGTTATATCTATAGGTGCTGTATTTCCCGAAGGAATAAATTTAATAGGCTATAGTCAAGGTGGTTTACTAGCTAGGGCTATATTACAAAGGTTTCCTAACCATAATGTCAAGAATTTTATCTCTTTGAGTTCACCACAAGCAGGGCAGTATGGAAGTATGTAATGGTAGTACAATCTTTGAAAGAAAACAAAGAAAACTGTCATTTTAAATATTTTTTTCCTTTGAAGCTCGATTTTTGCATTTATTTTTCCCAAATTTAACATGTGAAACTGCTTACGAACTATTTTACTCGAAAATTGGTCAACACACGAGCGTCGGAAATTACTGGAATGACCCTCACCATCAGGTTAGCATAATTTTTAACACTCTGACAATATCTGGGTACGTTCGAACCCATTCTAGACGCGAAAAATAATAAAACAAGTAGTCGCAACAAGCCGAAAAAAGAAACGGCATTTCTTATTTTCTGAGAATAAAATATAATATTTATATTTACAAATAACATATATACATACATAACAGAAACACAAATGTTATATACGCGTTGTGCCGAGAAATTATTATTTATCAGTATTTATTTTATTTTTGATTCCTATTAACGATTGCTATTATTTATATTATGAATTGTGATAATGAAAAGAACCGTACGGAAAAATACGGACCCGTTATCGTTGTCTACGTAGTTGGCCGGACCGTCCATTGTCCGAATAATGAAATTAATTTTCGTAATAAGCTATATTTGTCTTTCTTTCAGAAATTATATTACAAGTATAGTAGATTTTTACCACTTGTAAACAATAAAGGAAATTCCACGACGGAAGTATTCAAAGAAGGACTTACTAAATTAAAGAAAATGGTGCTTATTGGAGGTCCTGAAGATGGTGTTATCACTCCATGGCAAAGTAGTCACTTTGGATATTATGATGCTAACGAAACTGTGATAAATATGCATGATAGACCTATTTATATGGACGATTTAATTGGGTTAAAGACATTAGATAAAACTGGTAGACTCACCCTAATTACAGTATCAAATATTCCTCACATTGAGTGGCATAAAAATATATCTATAGTAGATGATTTTTTACTGCCATATTTGGATTAATATAAATTATTGTTAGTTATTTATTTTTAATTGTGACATGGAAGAAAACCCAACGAGAAACGACACAAAACCTTCTCTGGTTATGACAATTGTTTCAATCAAATTTTTTTTATACACGTATGTGATTTTTACATATTTTAATATTTATCATTGAAAAATATATTTCTGATGCTGTTTTAAAGAAATAGGAAATCAAAGTACCTAAAATAAATAAATACCTCGTTTGTGTATGCGTGCACGCGCGCGTGTGTGCATATGCATTTTTTCATATATTATAAATATAAATAGGAACGAATTATTTGTATGACATTGTTCAATAATAAGATACTTATATACACTTTTATTATCAATAAATATTTACTACTACTTATACAAAATTAAGTATAGTATGTTCGTTTCTGTAGAGAGTATATATCAGTTTCACCTTAAAATTAAATTTTCTTATAACTATTTAAATACAAACATAGCCATAATAGAGCGAATATCACATGTCCTCAGCAAAATGAATAACAAAATAATTTAGAAACTTTTACCATGTGTAAAACGTGTAATGAGATCAAGAGCCCACTTGGGCTGATCAGAAGGAACCATGTGTCCAGCATTTCTTACCAGGACTTCTGTCAAATTATCAACAGTTTTAGTGTAACCTGCTAACTCTTTTCCTACCCACCATAATTTCCTCCGAGCTGTTTTATATTTTTCAGCACCAGACCATTTTAAGGTACGTAAATAATTTTCTGTCAGAGGATACGCAACAATAATATCAAGTTGACCATTGTAAAGTAGAACTTTGTAATGCTGAGTAAGGTCTGATATGAGAATTGCTAGAGACTGCATAATATCTCCTTTCAAATATTTCTCTACTGTACTATCTTCAACGTGAAATGTACAATTGCCAACATGTATAGCCCTTCTTACATCTGAACTCTGAATCCATTCTGACATATAATTAGAATCATTTGAATCTTGGATGTGCAAATAATTAAAGTAATAATCAAAACCAGTTAAATTTTTAAATAGCGACGAATGACCATTTAAATCACCATTCAGAAGAGTATCAAATATTTCAAATGCTTCTTCATATTTTTTTTGTTTTATTAAATCTCTACCTTGATCTTCAAGTTTGTGAAACAAATCTCTACCATTGATATCAATTAATCCTAATTGATACAAATAATCTCCATAAAGTAACTGATTCTCTGGATCAGTTAACCCATTTCCAATTGCTAAACCCTTTAAATTTATTTTTGTCTTTGCCTTAATATTATAGTCTTTAATTGCATGAGATACAGCAGGTACATATTTTCCAGCATAAGATTCCCCGGTGACATAGAAGTCGTTATCTTGAAGTTGTGGAAATAACATAAAGAATTGCACTAACAGAGTATGAACATCCCTTCCCACATGTGTTTCGTTAGTGGCATACCCTTTTTCATTGTCAGTGAAGCTAAACCCGGTACCAACAGGATTATCTATATACAGTAAATTATGAGCCTGATTCCAAGAATATTTACGCATTTGAAGGGTTTTGTTTGGAGTTACTATAAATGGACCGTTCTCCATAAATAAACCAAACATAGATGTAGCTCCAGGACCACCTTGTAGCCATAATATTACAGGTGCAGTTTTTGGATTGACCTATTTGAAATAGTCTGATACACTGATCAGTAATTTTTAAATAAAACTACGTCATGTATAATTGAAATCGGTAACAGTGAAAGTTCCAAGAGACTGTTATTGAAAGGCATAAACAAAACATTTAGTCACTTACCACAGCAGGAAAAAACCAAAAGAACATGTTTGAATTGTATTCTTTATTGACAGTCAAATAACCGGCGTAACTGCTGACATCGTCCATTTCTTTATGTTGTACAATAGCTTTTTCACGTGCTTCGTCTATTTTATTGTCTTCGATTAACGGCGTTAAGAAAAGCGGCTTTCCAGCATCATTATCATCGGGAAGAGGATAACTTTTTAGTTTGGGATAAATGTTTGTGAATCCTCTCGCATCTTCAATCGCGAGTAAAATCAGAGAGAAAGTCAGTAGAACGGGAACAACTTTTTTCATTGTGCTTCACTTTGTCAACTGCCACTATTCGTGACGGAAACGCCTCTTCAGAAAACAATCACACAACTGCGACTAAGTAATTGAGGTCGATCGGACTGATCTTGACTTGGTTATCATGACTCGACGGAAATCGAATTTTGTACTGGTATATCAATGTTACCAATGCAACGGCTACAGATTTGAATTAATGTTTATTAAAGAAACTATTTAATTATTCCACTTGAGTAAAAGCTTACACTTAAGTTTAAGATTTAAGGCTAGATGAAATTTTGGACTTTCCGATTTTGTGTTTATTTTTTAATGAGATTTTTTAAATCTGTAACTGAAGAAAGAACGATTCCCAAAATAATTGAAACTATAGTAGTATTTTAGCAGGTGGCGCTGACTGTCAATAACGAATCCATGCCAGCTGATTGTACTAACACAAGTTAATTTGAATTGACATGTACGCACTAAAATCCATGTCCGGTAATTTAACCGAAGGTTAACGCGGAATACCGTTAGCGACTGTGCTATAGAAAGTAGATTTTTGTATTTCTTTAAACTGTGTGGTGTCAACAATTGAAATTATTGGATTCGTATGACAAATCCATTAATTAGAGTGTTAAAGTAATCTCACTTGGATATCGTGGTCAAAGTATTTCAAAAACACTTTGATATGCTTTGTGTATTGTACAAACAATCAACTTTTATATAAAAAGTTCCTAAAATAATTATATCCTAATAAACATACAAAATTGTATTTAATTGAAATAAAATACTAGAGAGTTTATTAAAAGTGACAGAAATGGATGACTCTTTTTTAGAAGATCTGGAACTAGTATCTAAAGATGTTAAAAATGTTAGTCCTTATGCATTGGATGGACATATAACAACAAGAACTGGTACATCTATTCCAGTACAAAATTTTGTTACACATAGTGGTAAGATTTTGCAGCATAGAACTGAACAATATAAACTGACTGAAAAACAGTCAGGTACTAAGGAATTAAATGTTAATAACATGAAAAAGTTATTAGAACAAGATACAAGGAATCAACACACAAAAGTAAAGGTGTCTGAAAAGACAGAAATACCTAGTGAAAGTAAACTAAAGCCAATTGAGAATAAAGTAAAAACTGATGACAAAGAGCTTACAATTACCAATAATGCTAAGGCAAAGATTCGAGAGACAAAAACAAAAATTTCTGAAAGTAAGGTTGTTGCAAAAGATCGGACTCGTCGTTCTGGAAGTTCTAAGGTAGACAATCAGTACCCAAGTGTTAAAGAAAACAGTAGACCTACTGACTGTATGAAAGAGAGCACTTCCAAAATGGAGATTTGTAAAGACAAAGGAAAAAGTAATGGCTCTGTTAAGAAATTGGATTCTAAAGAAAATGATCCTGTTGCTTTACTTAATGCTATTAAGGACATTGTGAGCATATGCACAAAACAAGAATGTTCAAACATTTTGAGAGTAATGCAAGAATTGCACATTAATTCTCAAGCAAACCTCATTAAGCATCTGTTAAATCAAACAGATGAAATAATTAATGAGATACATCCTAGTAAAGATTCAAATAGAATAAAAAATTTGATAGAACAGAATGACAGATTGAAAGAAGAAATTGTTATTTTACAAAAACGAAATGAAGACTTGCAAAGAAAGTTAGAATTTTTAAAGCAAGAATATACCCACTAAAATTGAAATGCAAGGAATTATTAAAATAATAGCAATAAATACTAATGTACTGTCCTGTCTACTGCCTTAAAAACATAGAGTTTATCAGCAAAGGAGCATCCATTCTTCCATTCCATTCTTCTATTTACGTATGTTTCAATTGCACTACATTATTCAAACTGTTATGTATTAAGTGATAATAAGTATACTAAAATTAACTAAAAAAGCTATATTTTTTTACTAGTATTTTTAAGTCTAAAAAGAATTTGAAAAATTACTATGTTGTATTTTTTGGAAAGTATTCAAATAATTCAATGTTTGTACGTAACTAGATTCAATTTCATATTGATTTGAATTTGTTAAATTTATTAAATTTAATTCAAAGAATTTAAAAATCATCTTCTGTAAGGAAATGTTTAATAAAACTTTTTACATGTTTATTACTGTCTTGTATATATTTTCTGAAATGAAAGCAAAAAATCATGCGTAAATCCATCCCAAAGTCAATAATATTCATTTAGAACAATTTATATTTATTGGTATTCTTAAAAGACATATCAAGGCGACAAGATACAATGTTCTGACATCACAAAATATATATTTACAAATAATGATTTTTTCATGACATTAAATATGATCTGTTAAATATGATTGACATACAAAACTTGCGCGAGACTTGGCAAAATGGCCAGACTATACATGATTGGTAGCTAGAAGATGAACTGATGATTAGAAAACGTATAAAAGGGAACAAAAGATCGTGCTGACGGCAGTTTCGGAGATTTACCGTTAATCCGTTAGAGGTTATCGTTTACGTTCTTATTTAAATAGATGCAATCTTAAATGCATTATATTATAAATGCATACAAGTTTTAGTTTAAAGCATGAATTCTAATAAATTATAAGTAAAAATAAAGCTTTATCGCTAGTATAGTACGATACATACTTGTAGATGTTTACATATATGTATAAAGCACTTATTTCAAAATTCTTTAACTGTGTCACGGACATGTTATGATCACAATGTTTCTCATAAGTTATAATAAATAGTGTATAAGCAACTTCCTTATCAATAAATGTTAAAATAAAAATCAGTAAAACCTTACAGCAGAATCGTGAAACAAATCTGCCAAAATGTATTCCTGTATCTGTTTAAAATTTTTCAAGCCGTTTTTTGTTTCATTTATTATTAAATTATTATTGTGACAATTTCAACCTTACCGTTCCGTACTTTGATTTAGAGCCTTTCTTCTATTTTCCTTCATCTTCCGTTTATCATGCTACTTGCCCACTTATCAATTATTGTATATATACATCTCTTCTTTTATAGTATACATCTTTGAAGATAGGAACAATCCCTCTAATCATTTCCCTAGCAACAAACACGGTGTTAATAAATTCCTGAGTTTCTAAAAGTTTGCAAGCCATCATTTTACGTTACTACTGGCAAGTGCGCAAACTATTGTCATAAAATTTTCTTCCTTTACATAACGAATTATTTTCATAACTGCCACAACATTTTCTTTTATAAAGTCTTTCACTCAAAATAGATCGGCCGTCGTATAAGAACAGCTCGTTTAAATGCGAGACATTGCAAAACAAAGTCTTTCCATCAGTTTTGCAATCTTGAAAATTGCACGGTATTGCTGTTGGTGTCGTTCGTTCACTTGGAAGTTTATTCATGGCGAGAAATTTCTCGAGACTCTCTCCTTTCTGCCTCATCGTCGTCTTCCGCTTCGTCCTCCGCGTCATCTTGGTCTTCGTTATCAGTTCGTTCGCCCTCCTCGGGTGGTCTTGTCCATCTAAATAAGATTATAAACGTTAGCATTTTTCCAAACCTTTAAGGAAAAAAAGCATGATTAAACGCAAGACCTGATCAATGTCTCCGGCGATCTGTAGAGGAATATTAATTTAGCGAACAAGTCTTCTTCGAGACACAGTTCCCCGCTTTCGCGGACCAAATATATGTCCAAACACAGTCGAAGGATTCTATCCACGAATGGTAGGTCATCGAACATAATCTTTGGTGCCATATCACTGACCACCTTCCTCATCATTTGGCTTATAACTATCACCGCGGTAGTGTACAACCCTAAGATTCTGTTGAAATATTCTCGAGTTAGTAAATTTCATTTTATCGATGTCTCGTAAAGCCTGGAAAAAATTCCATCGGACATACCCAAAACCGCTAATGAAGCTCAATCCCTCGGGGAATGTTTTATCATTGAACAAGAACATCATGATGTATTTGCAGTTATTCAAGGGCACGTTCTTCAAACGTTGATTGAACAAGTCATCGTCGCAAACTTCCCTAACGATCCACCATTTCTGGCGGGCACAGCAGGCAGCGTCTGTAGACAAGTGCAGATTGATACTCCTGTAAAGATAATTATCGTCTTCTTCCGGTACTTCTTCCTCGGTTCTCATTCCTGTAATTGTATCGTATAAAGTAAATCCGTTTTAAATCGTGATCGTTGCAAACCACATCGCTCGTGAACCAAACTTACGCAGACGCATTAACTGTGGAACGACGTCGGTGGTGCGACCAGTCACTTTCAGAAACTTCGGGAAAGCATTTTCTAGCGTAATGGTACCGTTATTGGGCGTCGATTCGTCGGTCGATAACATCTCAGCCAATGTCCTCCTCACAGGATTAAACTCTCCTTCCACGTATGGCGGTAATTGTATGTCCCGCAATTTCGTCGTTATTCCACTGGCGTCCTTTGCGTCCGTCTTTCGAGACACTGTCCACTCCACGTGAATGATGACGGTGGTACTATTATCTTCTAATTCTGTTTTCAGTCTGTGACAAAGCGATACGCAAAGGTAGAAATAAGTTATCGTGTAAAATTACGTTAAAGAAACACTTTCGTCGTTACCTTTGCAAGTCCGGCGGAGATATGCTCCACAACTTTCTGGAGAATCCGCTCAATCTTACGGCCGCGACGTCAGAGTGCACATAATTTTCGAGGAACGTAACCGCAGACCTGTCTTTCGCGTACAAATTCGTAAACCTGTTGTATTCGGCCTCGGAGTACTCGATGATAGAGCTGCTTTGGGCAGACATGGAATAAATCGGTTCGTACGGACCGATTCGTATTTTCATCGAAACGTCGTAGGGTAAGTTCGAGACGCCAACTGTGCTGCCCAGTGCGAACAAGAGCAGAGGGAACCATATCAGTCCGATCATCAGGAAGAGAGCACCGCCGCCTACCAAGTATTTGCTCATTTGTTTCTTCTTCACGCCTCTTGGTTGAGGGAAATCTGCCTCCACGCCTCTCATACACTGAAAGTTTCATTTGTCAGCGATTCCGGCGCACACTCATACGAATGAAATCGTACAATGTACCTTGATCTGATAGATGCTGGCGAAAATATCTTCCATTTTGAACCAGTCCATTATTGTCATGGAGGTATCGGTCCAGATCCAGTCCATTACGGCTCTTAGCTCGAAAAGGAAAGGAACCAACATGAATCTGTCGAACGACGAACGTTGAATTGTTGTGTAAAATTAAAGAAAGTTCGTTGGATAAAAAATATTCTGACCCTTTAAACAAGACGTAGTTGACGATGCTGTACTCCTTGCACAGGAAGTTACCAAGTATGCGTGTCGGATAGCCTTGTCGCAACTGATAGGCTGCCAGTAAGAGGTAGAAACATTTCATCATGTACCACATCTGTGGCGGAAGCCTCTCGTTGAATTGCCTAGGATTATCGACGGTTTTTAGTTATTTTATTATCGAAACTCCAGTCTGTGACTTTCTATGCGACGTAATATTATTACCTTTCGGTTACGCTAGGCAAGATGAAGAACATCCAGACGTGAACGCCGAATATGAGACAGTATTGAAACACTAATTTACCCAGTATCGATTTTCTCAAGAACAAGGCCCTGTCGATGACTATCAACGCGAATTGCAGCAACAGCATCAACAGAAACGGCATCGGGACTCGATTTTCTTGCAAATAAGCCGTGACGCCGCCATCGCCCTGTTGCGTCTAAACATTCGTAGAAATCAGCATCTCGAAACGTTCCAAGTTATTTGCGAAAAGTAAAGATCGCTTACCCCGAACGCGGAGAATCCAAAAATAAGGAGCAAGAAATTGAAGAAATCGCAAAGGAACATGTACGCGTACACGTTCGTTCTCTCTTTACCGACGGGATTTACAATTTGGACAAAGAAGTTCTTCATCGGTTGCACGTACTTGTTCACGCTAAAAATTAAACCATCGTAGAAACTCGAAAAAATTTATAGTACACGTACAATCGTCTGCTTACGTCATATCCATAGCTTTATGGAATTTTTCAGTCTGAGGGCTCAATTCCTCGCCCTGAATTGCAACGAGTTTTTCGTGTTCATCGATTATTTGCGCAGTCTCGCCGTCGCCAGTCAGATGAATATTTAGAGATCTTCCTTTAGGCGTTATTACTTGAACACCATCTCTAAAAAGAACATCGCGATATCGTTTACAGATACTCTGTATAGGTAAAACTAATTTCTTTTGATTATAAACGAACTCTGTTTCGTGTTGTCTGGGTGCAGACTCTCCTTGGCCTTTATCCGGAGGCGGAGGTTTGGACCGCACGATAGTCAAATTCGAAGGAATAATTTTCCTTGGCTTGAGGGATGGCGTGGTCCACTGTCCTAAAGACTTGAGCATAAATCTAGAAATACAATTTTCGTTACGTTTGCGTTCAATGCACGTAGTATTGTAAAATCTGTATCGAAACCTACCTATGGAAAAACACCATAAGAAGGACTAACAGATCCCACAGAGCGTAGTTAGGTTTACGTTCGACGCCCATTATTCTGGGCGTGAAAAGAGGATTATTGGGCGCAGCGTCCCGATTCCATGGCAATAGTTCCAATTGGAAAATGCATTTTACTATAACGATCGCCTGAAGAAGTTTGAAGGAAATCGTTTTAATCAGTCTCTTGGAACAACCGATCGGTAGGTCAGAGATAATCGGCGTCTCACCTCGGTGTAAGCGATCAAAGTCACCCAAAACGTCTTCGAGGGTCGCGGTATAGTCAGCGAACCCCAGCAAAACACCATGAGGGGCAAAGGCGTGGACAGAACAGATGCATTTTTAATTTGATGAAGGAATACCATGAAGTAACAGAGCAGATTCGAATGCGCCAAGACACCGAACCAAATGGACGCTAGTAGTTGGATGATCGGTGGTTGGTCGACTTCGGACAATTCGGCGCGTTCGTCGTCGTGTTGTACCGGAGAGATATCGGAGAACAGCGTGCTGCGTGAGCAATAATTTATATTAATCGACGCGAACGATTCGACGAGATGTTTCGACATGGTTTCGCAGAAGAGATGATATTTTTACGTTGATATCGAAAGCACACCGAAAGCTCAGCCGAGGACCACGTAGTCGTATCTGCGAAACGAACTAAAAGTGTAAAGTTTCGTTACAAGCGAACGAGAATTACTTTAATCGAAAAAAAACAACGGAACGATTCTTTCGTGATTGAACGTAAAAAGGAGAAACGAGCAAAAGTAATCGTTTACAATTGGCATGCTGCGTGCAAAAAATGGCGTGCAAAGTGTACATCTATGTCGTCGCGTGAAACTTTACGAAACATGTTTGATACCTGGAGGAGGACATGTCCAATCCTCGCTCCAAACTCGGCGCCAGAATTCGTATGTGTGGTATCGTCAGCGAGCTTCCTTTCCTAGCAGAAACAACACCCCCACTCTTTCTACGTTTATTTCAAATTACAATTCTAAGGTGTGACATAAGGAGACACGGTGTTGGAAAAGGAAAGGATGGAAACTTACGAAGGATCGTTTGGTTTCAGGCTCTCTATTCGTTTGATCGATTGTTCGGACCGCGTCGTCACTGGATTTCTGTCGGTTAAAAGAGGTTGTTTCTACAACAATTACATTCGCGTGAAACGTGTACTACATGTATCGTAGGAAAGTATTGGGAAAAGAATTCTATAAGGAATTAGGTCAGTGAAAAGGATTATGGAAACCCACCCAAAACAGAAATTAAGCATTCTCTACCAAATCTTACCTTTCCACCTGTGGTACCGATTGGCTGGTGCCCTGGCCAGCATCGTAGGATTCCTCGGTGTATCCGTTAGTATCCGATCTGTCAGAGCGAGCACATTTACTACTCTAGCTTCTACTAGTATGATCTCTGGCCTAAATGGCGGGGTTTGATACAAACTATTTCTTCTCGCGAGAGCCTCGAACGTTTCTGTCAGGGATGGGACTACTCGGGGTCAAACACACCACTACTAAAGCTACGTGTCGAGACGTGGAATACGATTAAAGGGATTTACAATCTGCGGCCGTATCGTTTTAGTTATTCGGGACACGATTAATTTCCTCCATGATAATACTAACCCTGATACTTTATACAGCTAAGCGTCTACGGACAGATAATCGACGAAGCTAAAAAGAGCCACGGACGGTTATTGTTCGAAGTCTCACCTCTTTTTTATCAACGGTATCGGCTGCCACATCTGATTGATCCCCAATCGCATTCCCATTCGAAAGTCTGGTTTTGCCTGCAGGACAAACAAAATTTACAGTATCGATCGACCGTAATTTCGTTACGTTCGGTCCTGTACCTTCAGCAATTTCTTCTCTTTCGCCAAAACTTTGCGTATGTATCTGTAATCCCGGGAGAACCTGTTCAGATACTTCGTCATCGACGTCAGGGTACTGTTGATCATCACCAAGAGGAATTTGAAATACGTGGTGACCGACACGGTCTGCTCCTCGGGCTCTTTATCCTCCTTTCCGGTCGTTTTGTCTTCCCCTTGCTCGTCGCTGGACGGTTCTGGTGTTTTAGCAGGATCCGCCGTCGACGGATCCTTCTCTTCAGTTTCAATGTCTGCTGACGTGAGGCTAGTCTTATCGCCGCCCTGATGCAAAGGACACATCATCGATTCAATCGATCCCCCTTTTTTTCGAGACGATTTTCGAGTACGTGGAACTTGAAGAGAATCGCGCCATCAATTCGTGTAAAAAGTATAACGCTATTCATGTCAGAGAGTCAATGATCATTGATGGCGGCTTCAAATTCTGCGTATACGTTCGATAACTTTTCGATATCGATGATTACTGTTACAGTAAGCGAGTGAAAGATTACGGTGCTAAAATTGCTGTAAACGTAATGAAAAACAAATTAAGCGAAATATCGAGCGAATTATATACACCAACGACGAGGAGCCTTGCTGTCAACTGCGACTACACATTGAAGAGAAATAACATTTATTTATAAACAAAATGACGGAAGAAATTGGCCGCCACTTCCATTTTTACAAAGCTGAAAGTTGCAAAAAAGAAAAAAAGAATAGTCATGGTCGTATGCAAGCGCTGCAATAACTAGCGGGTATATTTGTACAAAAAATTCATTAGATCGCCGGTTACGCGATCCGCTGTGTGGCTCTGTTTCGTGTAATCATTATTGTGTTAAATGTATTACACTTGAGTGAGTCTTATGTAGCCAGCGATTAACTGTTTTAGACACATTGGTGTACGTGTGATATGCGATGAGTCGCGTATATCCGAACCAATGGAAGAAAAAACAAAAAAAAAGAAATACAAGAAATAAAAGACATCGTCCCGGTCAACCAACGATACAAACAAAAAATTAAAAAAAAAAAACATGACATAAGGGAGATGTACAACGAAAGCTAATTAAGATTGTTAAAAATGAATGAACTACACCTGGAAGGAGCGATGATACGATACACAAAATACAGAAACAAAGATGAATTTATATAAATGAAGAAGTAAAAGTGGACGACTGTTCGAAGTGGAGGACGACAGCGTTTAAAGGTGAATGACGAAGGAGAAAAATGGTGGACAGGTAAGATAGAGAGCCTGTAGCAGTGACATGCAGCCTTTTAAGGGGATCTCACGTCGGTGGCCATCGCGGTGTCGGTCTCGGAACGTGCACTGAGATAGGACATAGACGATTTCTTCCGCGTCAACGGCACGCTCCGACGTCGAAGTCTCAGCGCGTCCTTTTCCGTCCCTCCGTACATGGCAACGTGCGTCGCGATCTCAATGTCTGTCTTAATCAGCGTGTTCATCAACTGCAAGGACCAGACTTTTAAAGTCAATTTCTATCCGGGGCAACGTGTTGCCTTCTCGTATACGTTGTCTGCCTGACGACTCCCACGTTTGGCCAAGAGTTGAATATAGAGAATATGTGGAGGTTGGGGGGTTGAGGGGGGAGCAGATTGATGCAAGAATGGCAGAACTTATGCGCAACACGGGGATAAAATTATCGTTTGTCGTCGTCGCATACATGGAGGAGTAAATCTTTGGCCATGATCTTGGCTGATGATCCATCTGATGCGTGAATTAAATTGTAACGGAGTTTCGATCGAGTTAACCGTGTTAACCGTACTCGAACAGTGTCCGTACAACGTTAACAGAGTTAAACGAAACAAGTTAGAATTTCGTGTAAACTTAAACAAAACTGACTGATTCGGGAATCGAACGTGCGCGTAATACTTGCTCACGAGAGATTTTATACGGTTGCTCAGTGGATCAAGTGCTCCGATTGGGATTAGCTATCGTTTACTTAAAATCAGTTAAACCTATCGTAACACAATTCAGCAAACACGTATTAACACTTTTTGTAGTAATCTTGCAGTACGGGAGAAAACATACCTCGGATATTGTCATTCTTTTGCCGCGTTCTTCCTGCTCGTGAATTCGTCGATGATCCTCTTTCTCGGACTCGGTGTCGGGTATCAAATCGGTGACGTCGTCGTCGTCCAGATCGTCGAACATGTAATAATCGCCCGATCTAATGGCTGATCGAAAAAAAAAAGATAACGATTCGGTCTAAGTACACGGAAGAATCTAAAACGTCCACTTACGCTATTGTGCCCAAGCCATGCACGACAATTCGTTAAACAGAATAATAACATTTGTAGAAAAACATTGCTCGAATCCAAAAGTTTTGCGCTAAATTGTAAGAAAACGTACATCTATTAAAGATCATAGAAATTGTTAGTATAATTGTACAAACGATAACACGCACACACACACACGCTCGCGCGCGTACATCTTAAAATATTGTAAAAGCACAAGGATGTTTATTAGTACAGGATGCAGACACGTCAGTTAGTAGGATAAAGCCCGGAAAAGCTGTGGAAAAAAAGAAAAGAAATATTCATTTACCCTCTCTGTTGGTCTTTGGCGCGCGAACTCTGTACAACGGCCGTGCCCCTGGATAGAGAGTATCTAACAAAAAGAAAAACACAAAAGTAGAGATAGAAAAACTGAAAACGTTTAGAGAATCGTCGGCGCGTACGGAGTAAGTATATCTTACAATAATATACATCTATATTACATTCGAAACGATCATGGTGGAATCCCCGAGTCCGTGGTCAGCAGATTCGACAGGACGGGACGATCTAATAAAAAAGAATGCGGGCTATCGTCCGTTCCTAAAAAAAATACAGTCGATTCCGTCAATAGGAGAACGACGAGGAAGCTCTAATCAAATAAACGTCTACGTGTCTCTAGCGATACGATATTATTTACAGCTAATTTCCAAGTGGAGTACAACATCGAACAGAGAACGATTAAAACTGGACGAAAGCGTACGACGGATAGATACCCTTGAAAACAAAATAAATTAGAGATCGACGAAAGACTTCTAAAATAGAATCGCTAGAATTCGTCGAAGAAACGAAAGGAGATAAGATACGGGGTGCGTCGCGGATGATCTAGAGGTGCAGTCGCGGAAGCGTATGTACAGGACATCGTAGCAGATCGACGACGACGATCTGGATCCCGGGTGTGTCGTTACATGTGTGATGAGACAGCGGGGAACGAGAGGTGGTCGAGATGATCGATTGTCGTGGTGTCGGTAGTCCGGTCATCCAGTGCGGACCGATGTAACTGGATTGGCGTCGATGTTTCATCGATGAGGCCAACGATCGATCCGGCGGTTGTCGCCCGTACGGGGGCGGCGAGAAGACCGGGAACGTTTCGTCCGGCGACGGTCCCCGTGGATTCAGCTCGCTACTCGGCGGAGAACCGAAAGAAATGCGAGTCGGCTCTAGATAGCCTTCGAGGCTCACTGTCATGATCGCGGAGTTGGGGGTGGGCGCCTGCAAGTGGGACGCGGCACGTGGCGTCAACGGGGGCGGCTCGTCCTCGTCCTCGTCGATCGGCGTCTGATAACCCTGGGGAGGCGTGTGATTCGGGGACACGCACGAGCTCACGCTTGAAGACCTCGCCAGAGGCGCATCTCCTTCTTTTTCGGGTGCATTAAATATAGAGATTCGACGTTAAGGCGTGAATTGTCTGCTCGGTCTACCTACGTCTGGAGTTGGTCTACATCTCGTCGCTAATTACTGGATAACACGTGGACTTAAAGATTAGACGGAGTCTTGGACGTTACATCGATCGGTCGATCTACCTATGTCGGGGATTGAGCTACTTCTTGTTCCTGATTATCGAAGGACTGGTAGAATGCTAAGTAAATTGGATATTAAGCTACTTTTTGTTAATCGTTGCTAGTAACTAAATTCAACATGTTTCGGAGAATTTGTTAGATCGTGTAGAAATTCTGTTCCTCGGAGTTGGTCAGAGTTGGAGCAATCTATATCAAGGGTTGGGTTACTTCCTGCCGTTGATTACACGCGGATTCGTAGACTTACAAGCTGGCAAGTAAATTGGACATTTAACCCTTAAGTGGGCTCTCAATCTCAACTGAATTATTTTACCAAATTAAAGCATTTAAAAAATAACGAACTAACGGAGGATTACATAAATTTTCAAATAATTACATTTACATATATCAAACAATTATTAGTTTAAACTTGTGGAGGGCCACAATAATCCACTTAAGGGTTAAGTTACAAAAAATTTGTTAGATTTTTTGGAAATTATGTACCTCTACGTCGATGCTAAGGGAATCAAACATTACGAAGTCTTGGAAATTGTACTTTTCGAGTCGATCGAATCAATCGGTGTACCTACATCAAGAGTCGGGATACTTTCTGCTGCTCGTTACTCGGGGAGTATATTATAGAGAACTTGACGAATTTAAAAAAATTAATTTAGAGTTGTTCAGATTACGATATCGTCCCACAGTCTAAATACGGATTGGTGATATCGAAATGAGCCTTACCGACTGCGTGGGTCTGTGGTTCTCGGTAACTAGGCCCTTGTATCTTCCTCTGACTGGCCTTGATCTTGTCCATCTTGAACTTCAGCTTTTGTAACACGTTCCTTTCGACGTTATCTTGAATCTGAATGCGTTTCTGGTGCAGTTCCTCGAGCAGTTCGGCGCCACGAGACGCCAACACTCTCATGGCTTTGGTTTCATCCACGATGTGGAAGAAGTAGTAACTCTTGAACAGTCGTTTCTGCAGCAGCAAGAAGCAAAAGCACAGCCCGTCCCAGACCATGCCTATGTCCTCTCGAGGTACCTCACAGTCCACCTTACCGGATACAATGTCGCTCGCTGAACTTTGGAATTTTCTTAGGCAGGTTATACCGAATAGTTGAATCACCGGGCAAGCTGAAACTTCCAACTAAAATCCCAACCCATCAATGTTTATTATCCTATTTGATTTCAACGAATAAACTGATTACCTGTTTGATCAACACGCAACCAACGCCCTGCAGTAAAGCTTTCGAGAAAATGACGATCACGTTATAACCGATCAACAAGTTCCACCATTTTAAGATCGTCCTGACCGGTCTCAAGTAAAAATCGCTGCCCTGCCAGAGAAATACGAAGGCGCCGATCAAATAACCCAACGAGAAAAGATTGGTCCTCTTGGTACCAGCCAGGAACATGATCGATAACGTGATCCACATAAGACTCATCAATACACCGCGTTTCAAAATGTCCAGCCAGGAGTGAATGTGCGACACGTAATCGTTCACGGGATTCACGAAATTTGCTTTCTCCATGTTCTGGTACACGGAGTAATTGTGTCCGGCCGGAAACTCTTTGCCGGAAGCGGCGCACCGTTGCTCGACACGGAAGAACAGACTTTGCCTCACGATCATCATGAGCAGAATAAAATCACCTGTAAACGATTCGAACACAGTTGGACTTGCATCGATTTAAACAACTTTAAACGTATAACCGTGAATCTTACACATCAATTTTCTGGGATTCGGCGGAAAATCAGGGTCGGGGAAGTACATCCACTCTTGCAGCCTTCTAAGTATTTCAGAATTGCTCCACGGATAGTCTGAAAATAAACACACGATCGACTTATTTCACCCAATAAATACGATTTGGAATTTCATTTTTGGCAAACATTTAGTAACCTATGCAAAGCCAAGAGGGTAACGCCACGACCAAAGAATACTGAATGGGCAACAGGATGATAGCGAAGACCTTGAAGAACGGCCAAATCTTGCAAATCGTTCTCCTTTTCAGCGAGAAGAAGAGTAATAGCCAAATGCCGTAGAGGACCGAGTAAAAATCGAGTCGAGTGCCGATGAGCGCCACGATTCCTATCAGGCACAGTTCGACCCCGAACTTGTAAAATCCATAGTTGAAGAGGAATTTCAGACACTGCGGCATGCCTTTGTCGGCGTCTGCTCTGGTGATCGACGGGAACATAACTTGCGGAGTATCCAAAGGTTCGCCCTTCTCTTGTCGATGGAAACACTGTCGTATTCTGATCACTTTTCTAAGCGTGGTCACTATAATGATTCCTATGGAACCTTTCAACAGCACCGCCAGCTGACCTGACTCTGCTTTTCTCATACCGAACCATTCGGCTATGTTGTACACCGTATTGTTGCTTGCGAATGGACGATCGTCGATATGTCTCTGCGAATAAGAGGATACAAACTTTTTAAGCAGTCGTTTGTCGATCAGGATTACAAACACTCACTGTGCAATTAACGTTCCAGTTATTATGATCGATGTATTGGATCTGGTACAGCATCTTCGCGACCATCAGTATAGCGATTATCGCGGCGATCACGTTAACCGTGCACACTTGAATGTTTCGCCTTGCATTGATCATTATTACGACTATCAGGACGAACACGAAATTAATGGCGCACACCTGGAAAATATCGATCGTGTGGAAAACATAATCAACGTAAAGATCGATTATTTAAACGGATCTCGACTCACGTCGTTGACGCAGAGAAGCATCACGGAGGTAAAAATAATCTTTTGCATATGGATCTCCAAAAACAGCCAGGCGTAGTTGTAAAAATTCAACAGATGTTTCATCGCTTTTCGGAACAGCTCGATTCGCTCCAGCTTCGACATTTCTGAAAAATCACCGCGGAAATCAGCATTCGTGCTTGTTCGAGCATTAATTTCACGTACGTTTCAATTGTCTCAACGTGTACATATTCCCGTGATCCTCTTCGACGAGGAAAACTTCCCCTGGCGTGGCCGGAGGCACGATCACAGTCGGAGAATGACCAAGGCTCGCCTGCATGAAAGAACTCGCCTCGTTTCTACGATTGTACAAACAACAGTCACTCTCGATCCTTCGATTTCGTAAAGTCGAATCGTCAGCTTTACTAACCCGAGTCTCTCGATGTTCGTCACTTCCAAGAAATCGTTATGAAAATAATGAATTTGAAGAACGGTGATGATGACGAAGAACGTAGGTGTGAGCAATCTGACGAATAGATCCTTGGTAGCGTATTTCTCTAAACCGATGTCCATTTGCAAGTCTTCGTCGATATGTAGATAGTTCCAATACTCCGGGAAATTGTCGAACTGATAAGTATACACGAGGATCAACATGATTACCGAGTATCCGATCACCGTGAGCCAGAACGGGTACATCATTTTTCTCCAAACCGTCCACGATACCTGGAAAATATCGTAAATGTTGACTGCCGTGGTAGAACGTCACGATAAACGAAGGTACCTGGAACGTGATGACCAGAACGAGGAAAAGGGACATGTAAACGATCCTGAAGACCGTCATACGTTCGCCGGTGATCCCGCAAATGAAGAGCATGATAGCCACAACGGCGATCCAAAACTTAGTCAGTAGCTTCTTCAGGAGTATACCGACGTCTTTCATGAACTTGCTCTTAATTTCTGGCGCCTCGTGGTTCATGGCCGTGGTGGCTGTCGAAACGGACACGTGTAGCGGAGCCACCATGTCTCTCAACGCCGAGGAACGCCTCTGCAGAGTCCTCTCGGCAGTGTATTGACGCATAGTTATCCAGAACATCGATATAAACAGACACTAAAAATTATTTGTAAAGATTTTACGAACAACCCTTTGGTAGACTAGAAATAGCAACGAAGACGATGGTTACTTTGACTATTAAATGCCAGCGACTGAGCAGGTCGGGTTTACTGAAACCGATCTCCGACATTTTGATTCCGTTTATTTCCGTCGGTAGTTCCTCGTCGGTTAGATCCATGCTGTAAACGTACTGGCCGAGAAGAAGAAGGGTGGCGTAGAGCACGATGAAAGGCGAACACTTCATCATAGAGGCGCGTTTGTTGGGCACCATCCAGAGAACCAAGGCCCACAACAACAGCGCGAAAGTTGTCCAGCTATGATACATTATGCTCCACGTCTGTAAAAACGAAACGAACCGTAAATGCAATGCTCAGAAAACGATGTTTACATCGTACGATTTCTTCTTTTTACCATCATTATAATGTTCGTAGCGAGATAAGACGAATTGATTATCAATTGGAAGATCGAGTACACGGCCATGATGATGTGTTCGATGATTCCCGATTGTTCGTCCGGAGCACCTAAGAGACACTCGTGTCAGTCGTTGAATTCGATTTATTTCTTTTTATTAACGGTTTTACCTTCGTTGAGGCTTTGCATTTGAATACTGTCGTCTTGATGACCGTCCTGAACGATGATGCTTCCGGTGGAGTCCTGAAGAAGCCCCGTTCGTCCGGATCCAAACCTCATCAACTATTCAAATTGAAAACACTGTTCTTTGCGTGTCGTATAAGTACCTTAAATATTTCTACCGATTGTTACGCTAGTTTTTTACAACCTACTTTGGTGTCCCGCTAAAAAACGTGTGTCGTTAAGCAAAATCGTTTGTCGTCGGACATACGTACGTGCAAGCTACGTGAAGTGAAATAATTTACCCCCACCGTTAGCTACAGCGAATGATTTTCAAAGAACAGATACTAAAAATAGATGTGAATTTAACGCAGATAAATGTAAAGCTAATGTGAAGATCGACGGTTGAAAAAGAAGAGAAAAAAAAAAAGAAAAAAATTAAGCAACGTCCGTTTCGAATCGTACGAAATCGGTTGCGAGATGTTAGTAAAGGTGGTCGCTGTGATATGTGTTAACAGCAGACATGATTGCTGTGATAATCAAACGTGCAAACTTAATTATTATACGTACGGGTGTGCGCTCGTCGGCAGGTGGGAACGACGAATTAACGATCGGCTTCTAAAACAATGGCAAACTAAACATAGCGGCATCCAAACGGAAAAGGAATTTGCTCAGCGTTAAAGAACAACTGCAAATCTGGAAGGCGACAGCAAATCAAAAAATCGGAAATTATCTGAAGGGTGACAGGGGGGTGGAGGTCAATATCAACAAAATATCTTAACGTTAAACTTGTACTTTCTCCGCGGATTGATTTGAATTCATCAGAAATTCTACGCGCTCGAGGGCGCCGAACATCGATCGAGTAATTGTTATCCTTTGTCGGAGAAAGTCGACAACGAAATAAAAAAGTGTTGAAAACTTAAAATTAGATGAATCGATGGCGTAATTTACAGTCGAAATGTATGTATATACCGACGTATGTATCGATGACTGTCATTCCAATGTGTACGGTTTATCTACAAGAAAACTCAAAGATCGAAGCTTGACTACGAGAAACTCGGCTCATGCAGGACGAGATCCTTACGCGAGCCTTTCGTCGCGCCGATTGCCATCTCTGAGAAGGTGTCCTTCGTCTGATGGAAACGTGTCTGGACAATGGAGTGTCCAGATTCTCCAGTTTGCCGCTTAAACGTTTCATTTTCTTCGCCTGTAACGCTTCGTTAGTAAAAGCAACGTTCTTCGGAGAGAAACATATGTTACAAGGATCCATCGTATTCGGAAAAAATGTTAGTCAGAGAATCGGAAAGCTTAGTTCGTGTTACCGTGACGGCGCCGTTGTTAATTACTCTCCTCAACCGCAAACAAGTTAATCGGGGTGTCAGTAACGAGAAAAGCTTTCAATGTATTCATGCCTCCAGAATAAATTCAATAGCTCTCTGCAGCCAAATATTTCTCGATGCCCACAGTTCAAGTCTTACGTTAGGATTTAGTACAATTGATTATAATTACGCATTGTTTAATCATCAACATAGTTGGTACACACGATCCGGTGCATTCACAGTCAACGAACGAGACGAATGCGAACGATAAACTCACCGGCTTTTTGCTCAGGAACTGCGACTGCAACGCCAAAACATAGTAGAGCCAAAATAGTCTCAAGCAGTAGCCGTAAATCAACCAATCGGCGTCCTGCGTGTACTCCACGTCCCTGGGGTCGGTGCAGTTCGTGTGATAAATAGCAGTCAAGGCGAAGTAACGTTGCCAGGTGCTGTTCAAGGGTATCAGCTCTTGAGGCAGCTGATTTTGGTAAGTGAGCAGAGTCAGGATATGAAGGATCACGAGGACCATCACGATCTTGCAGAGCACAGCGAAGCCCTTTCGGAGTTCCTTGTTGCACGCCCACCACGTAGCGGCTCCCAGGAAGACCAGGAAATAGATACCACCTTCCACGGATGGTTTCAAGGACGCAGTGATACAGAGCGACGCCATCACTACGTAGGTTCCGATGCGTCCTAGGAAGTTAATTATCTGGCCGCGAAAATTCGCGTTAGTATGTACGTTAGGACTGTTGTGTAATTGTCAAAATAAAATAATTACTTTGCAAAGAACGCTAGATGACTGTGGCTATTCAATTTTAGTTTAAATCAGCGAAATCTACCCTTAGAGATTTAACTCGTAATAAGAATTGAAATTTTGTCATAAAAATTATTAACGATTCTACCTTTGCGGTTCTGTCCTCGGTTTTCTTGGACGCGACGGTCTCTCGATGCAGGGATGCACCCTCCTCCACGTTGTTCATGGGTTTTTGTGTTAAGAAACGACATATGAAATACACGGCGACGGTGACGGGTAAAACAACTAACTCTGGCGTCAGCCAGAAGAAGATCGACCAGACTGACGCGTTATCTAGCCGTACAAAACCTATGTGCCTGAAGAGCACTTCCAGAAACTGACCTACGAATAATAAAATTTTATTTTATATAACGTTTTCAATCGTAAAATGCTTGTTTTTTCTTTCGTAGGAAAGAGGAGTCTGTTTGTAATTTTCTTAATAAATAATTATAATTTTATTTTAAATTCTTTATTACCTATACGGTTGATAACGTTATATAATGCTTGATAAAACCGAAAGCGTCATAAAGAATGTGCTGGAAAATTGTCAAGACTCGCGTATTTACGTTTGAAACAAAATCAATTGACCGTTCGAAATGTATGTATGTATGTATGTATGTATGTATGTATGTATATCCATCGCTCGAACGTATAAAGGAGTATTGGCAGGCATAATTCACAATGAAGAAAGTGGCCTCGAGCAGTCAGTTCACTTTGTTTCTGCTTCAGCATAGTGCACGGCGTTCGAGTTGCAAGATAAATGACTCATTATCGAATAAGAACAAGTGTTATTTAACGATGCACAAAGAAACACACGCGAGCAGAAATAATTGGTCGACAGAAGCAACGAGACCATCGACGGTGACATTTATCTTTACCTAAAACTTAAAAAATGACATGTTTCTTTCTTTCTTGAGGAAATTGTTTACGTACAGTTCAGAAGGAAGTGGCCGTAAGTAGGCAGCGCCAGTAAAACTAGGTGAAAAGTGAATTGACTGATGGCTGTGAGGAAAGATAGGCCGATGCAAGTCTTCAGGTAGAGGCCCGTGTGGCCATGCATTGTTTTCGTATTCGGTATGGGCACGTGTGGCGAGTACAGCATCAGACCCAAATAAACAAGGGACAGTCCGACTGGTCGCCATATTGTACCTGTTTCAATAAAAAAAAAACCAACATTTTTAACTCATTCACTTGCAATTTATTTTCGTGCAAGCGCGCCTCGTCGTAGTTTAGACCGTTTAATTGGGTCGCTTGGAAATTTAATTGGAGGGTCGAAATTTGCAACGTAATTTTTTTTCTGCGAGGCATTCTCGAACGCGATAACAAACGGCAAGGGGCGTAAGAGGTTAAAATCAGATTTTAGTTCTCATAAAATTAATTTAAAATAAAATGTTTATTATCAATCTTTCGCACGACATTATCGAAGCAATATTTATCTACTTTTGTTTTTCCTTCTCTCTCAATTTATTATCTGGCAATTTTTGATTTCATTACGCGGGTAGCAATATATTAGAACATAAAAAAACTAATCGTTTCGTGACCTTTTCCAAACGATATTCGTCGCGATGTGGAAATGCAGCTCATTCTGGCGATACGAAGACAGAAAGAGGGAAGGAACGACAATTTCTAACTCGTTGAAATGTCAGATTCAACCTAGGGAGTTCAATGATAAGGCTCCACGAGATTTGACATTTCAGTCCCTCGGATTTCACGAAAAGTTCCAACAAATCCTATACTCGTGAACGTCGTGAACGTTTATTACGTTTTATCGTTTCGATTGGAAAGATAGTTAAACTCCTTTAAGAACCCGTTTAATATGCATGAATCGTAGGTGGTAATGGAAATACATGTGCGCGTAATTAGATGGAAACAGCACCGGGCAACGGTATGTTAATTGCTTTCGTACCGTTGGAAAATGTTAAACTCGATTAATCCATTAATGACTCTCTTCGTGGACGACACATTTCTTATCGTGTTTCTCATTTTGATAAACTCTCGTCTAGAAAATTTCCATTGAAATTGTATTCGGAATTCGCTCCATTTCCGTCCAATTTACACGAGGTACTTTCTATTCACAGAATGCGTTCTGCTTACTATTTTCTCCCTCGTATACACGAACGAAAAGTTTGACCGGCTGCCAAGGAAACTCAAGCAAGCGTTTTCCGTGTTCCAGCACCGTTGCAAATTATTCGATTATTCAATTATACCTGTATTTTGCCGCGCCGCGCTTCCAGCGCTCAGAATATCCTTCATATTGTAATTAAAGAAGCGTTTCTTTCAATTTTTTGAAAGACGCCACCTTAAATAAAGGAGAAACTTTCTACTTTATTCCTTACGATAATTAGTAATAAGTCAAGACAATGTATGATATTTAAAATTGAGACTTTACGTGTTAATTAATGTACTTATAAAGATATTACACGAATTTTGTCATGTAATTTACTCTGATAGCGAACGAGTACATTAATATTATTTTGATACCGTGTCAAAAACGTTATCGTAATCAGCGAACATTTAAAAACGTATTTATTTGCTCTTTTTGAAGGTGTACTTTAGAAATCTTAAACATTGGGAAAACGGAAAAAAATATCTTCTCGCCTGGAAAATATAGAAATCCTTGCAAGTTAGATATTTGTTTTTGTATACGCGTCGTATGAACAATGTTGCACGCGATGTTTATTAACATTATACAGTTAATGATAGAAACTGCGGACTAATTACTCCGTTCGGCTTATGCGAGACGATGATTCGCGCGATAACGACAACGACGACGTTCAGCGTTAGAGTCGTAATGCTTCTTTTTATTCCGGATAATTTGGGTCAGAAGATCAAAGCAGACACAAAAAGTCTACTCCAATAAATTAAAATTTCCTTTTATTCCAAGCATTTCGTAGCAACGTTTTCGATGATAAATATTTCGTGTTTTGGCTTTGCAACGGGCGAACGTTCGCTGAAAATTTACAATAAAGGCGCAATTCAAGAGACGGTGCACGCCTAATTATAGACGACGCTAGTAAACCGATCCTAACCGCGTCTCGACACTGTCACCGTGGAATCCTGAGCCACTTTCTCAAATTTATATATGTGCGTTGACTAAAAACGCTAAGTTTTCGTTTCGTGCGAAAACTTCGACTTACGTCATTCGTCGGTTTCTAGAATTTTTCCTGCTCTTCTATTTTTAAGATTACATCGTTAAAATCTAATTTGGGATCATTTTTAATACAATTTTAATCATTGTAACGTAAGAGCATTAAATTCAAGAGTAATACAAAATTCATATCTCAAATAAATAACTAATGTGAAAGAATAAAATTGCAACACTCAATTCGACTATATGTTTTTTAGATGTGTTTCTGATTACATACAAAGTTAATGATCTAAAGTTATGAGTCGAATTAATTAAGATTGGTTCTGTTCGTTTTGCCGTTAAATTAGTTTTAAGGAAGATATCTTTTATAGTCGAAAAAATGAGTGAAATGAAAGCTAAATCACAATTTGCGACATAGCGTGACGCATCGTTGATCCAGCATATGTGGCTCGCTGATAACACACTGATAATTAACGACAGTGTTAAAGTTTCTCGGTAATACAACTGCTAGCACTCCAATTTAACAAATTCCTTCGATAGATTAAATTTGTTACTTTTTAAAAGAATGAATCACAACTCTTGGGAAAGCGTATGTTTATCGTACTCAGTTAACGAGTTACGTAACAATAAGTAAGCAGCTGAATTAAAAAATATTCACAGTTCCATTAGTTTTGTTTTTGTAACATTAAGCAGAGCTGCTCATGAGGAAAAATTCTTACTCTCCAACTATAAACATATCTTGACACGATCAACTGTTTCTTGAAAACATTGTAGAAAGAATGTTTGAATTTAAACTTATTCACAACGCTGTTGTGCACAGGAACAACCTCGAATTTCTCGACTTCATAACTGATTATTCATCTATTCTTGGTCTCTACCTTGAAACCTATATCGTCTTTCCAGGTTCACACGATTCACTCGCCTTCAACAAGATGCACACATGTGTGTACGAGTAGTGGTCGTCAGTTGATCATAAACAATGACTATTTTAATAGAGTGATGTCATCGAGATATTCTCTAGCACGATATTAACATCGAAAATACATCGAATTCAATTTTATACGCGAATAAATTCTTGTGACATTTAATTTCTACCATGATGGAAGAATATTTTAATAAAAACACGCTATAAGGACATGCTCGATAAGGACTCTGTTTGAATGACAGAACGTTTGAATAATAGAATAACGTAGATTGTACTATATACAAATACTCTTGTATTATCCTCAGGAGTATTGTGCGAATCCATCCGTCCTTCTTTCAGTATTGTGTTCTTACATTCTGAAGAAAAACTATATGAAAGGTCCAAACGTTGAATGGTATAAAACTCGTACCGAGTTTTGCCTTTAATTTCTATATACTCGATGCTTTTATCAAGATTAAAAATAAAAATTCACTCAATAAATGTACTTGTAAAAATCGTTGTATCGTCGATACTTTCCAGAGCCCCGTTTCAATGCTCTAATTATTACGAACAGCGTTACCTCGAGTATTAGTGAAATCTGAAGTAGAGTATGGCGTTGATTACCAGACATAATTAGTGGACGCAACATTTCCGATAAACGAATGTTTGCATTATCGATCGTCTAAGGGTAACACTAGAATGGTTAAACATTTGGAGAACAGGATGATTTATGTTATCGACCACAGTTACGATATCGTACTAATACACGTGGCTGCAGCGTGTGAGCAAATTGTTACCTACACGAGCATTATTCTCGATTCGAAGTTATCTTACATTCTAAAAATAATATACGAATTATTATGAATGTTTTTCAATTTTCGAAAGTCAGTGTTGCTTTTTAATTGAAAAGAAAACATTTACTGAACGAGATTTACTCGAGAAAAACAGAAATGAAAGGAAGTTTTGACGAGATAATTTTAACAGTATCGAAAATGTATATTTTAATAATTATTAATGATTTATCTAGCTACTGTATTGGACATATTCAAAGGAAATTGATTTTAAAAACTAAATAGACACACCCTGTATTTTCTGGCAGTCACTCTGTTGGATAATAGACTTTTCTAAGGTCAACTTTTCAATTAATCATCATGCTACTTACATCCTGCCAGGACAACTGGAAGGACGACCCTGAGAAGGGCCACGTTCAGCCAATACTTCGGCATGCCTCGATTTCCTGAGATGACCTTTCACCCTGAAACAGAGAAAAAGAAACGATTTACGCTCGTGAAACTGATCAACCGTTGGCGTTGTCAACATCTCTCGAGATTTTCCAGCGACAATGTCAGCTTTGCCGAAATCGATACGACACTGCCGCAGTCGGATACCTTTAACCTCGTTTTGCCAAGAGACGTACCATTGGTGTTCTTAGATTCGCCCAACGGTTTTACTACCAACCTGACCCCTTTCAAATTTACCGCCCATCAAACTTGCAATTTACTTCCGGTCGCTCATGTCGAGATCTTAAAAAGCAACGTTTTCCCAGTCGATACTAGCATCAGATACGTTTCACCAACAATATTTTCGAATTAGCCTTCGAGTGACAAGACTAAATTTTATAACAATGCACCCTTATAGTTTTTATACAATTTATAGTTCAACGACTACGAAGCTTTAAAAACATCAGATGAAAATAGGATCATCTCGAGAGCTAATTGCATGTGGGATCTGTTCGAGACCCGAAGGAAAATAGAAGTCCCTTGCACGATGGTTCGAGCTATTAAAAAATATTATAGTACTATTACTTCGTCGCGTAAAGTCGCTAGTCTGGTTCGTTCTGTTCGTGTCGAGCGTTAATGGTATTCAAACATATCACGAATGCACGTCGGATGTGACGTGCACACCATCTGTGCACATTTCCTGCTTCCGTATAAGATTCTACGATGGGTATCGGTATTTCGATCCGTGGCAACGGTAATCGTTATTCGTCGCTCAGTTTGGACGACTACCAAAAGCTTGCACTCTGCGAGACAACGTCCTTTCCTGCCACTTAACGCAGTACAAACACATGCGTCCAGATAAAGTAAATTCTCCGAACAATATTACTTGAAAGTACCTTCGTTCGCTATTAACCACCTGATACCCCGCAGGAAATTCTGTGTATTCCTCGTTTAGAAATGTACAGCTCAAAATTTATATCAAATGTAATGACTTAAATAAGAAACATTTTGGGGCCTTCAGTTTTGTCGAATAGATCGAGTAGTTCGATGAATAAAAGTGCATAGATCGATAAATTACTTTATTATCGTCTCGTAAAAAGTGAAAGAATTTTCCGCGTGACCTGATACTATCATCATTTTTTGCGTTTGAAATGAATACGACGAACCACGTATACTGGCTTCAGAAAAACCTGTCCACGTTACCACAAAGGTACGTGTTTCGTCTTCCAGCGCGTAGAATGCGGTTGAATGCACAAGCCGATTGGCGATGACTTCAGCGCATTTGGAACAGTATAGACAAGTGTTTCGAAACCGCTATCGTGTATCGGTCAATAACTTAGCACGCAAGTATGTTCAAACAATTCCTATATTCTATCATTTTATGTCCATTCAGTCGCGGTTAAATAATTCAATTTATCACGGATCTTTATACAAATTCATATCTTCATTAACCCCTTAACGCTCTTATTTTTCGGGTTAACCAACAATGATCAGTTTTCTTTATTGGATTTGTTTCTAAAAATACGGTTTTTGTTAATTACAATGTTGTATCTAACTTATAATTTGAAGAAAAACAAATATTATCATCCCTTAAACCGTTGGATTAAACAAATATTGTTTTTCAAATCAGTCAGACTCGGGCATGAACGTTAAGGGGTTAATAGAATTAATGAAACGGGAGCTTTGTAGAGGGTTGTCTCAGCCCCTAAATACAATAATTCGTATCTTACGTGTTTCTTATATTTTTGCATATTAAGTGTATTCTGTAAATTTTTGAATCTGTCTAATAATTATATACGGAGTCATTAAACGCGAGAAAATAAATCTCGTACACGCAATCGGTCAAATACGGTATTTAAGGCGTTCCAACCATGATGTATCAGTATCATATACCTATATTTCATCAACCAAACCCCCGCACGCTTATTGGCGATCGATGACTGAAGAACGAAAAAGCTTGACATCGTTTGACAGAGCGATTCTAAGAAAAGAAGAGCTTTCGATTGGCGAGCGTTTCGATAAAAAGTGACGCGCCCAGCCTAATTATCGAGCAATTACATGACAGAGGGGATGGAACGGTACTCGTGCCGCGAAAGGTGCGCCTTTCCCGTTTCCAGAACACGGTTCTCCATTATAGTTCGATATAACGACAAAATAACGCCACGAATGACGAATCTGGACATATCATTAAACAGAATTTTGTACTTTCTGAAGCGTTTCGTGCTAATTTGAACACGCTTTCAACCACTTTCGTGTTTCGTTCCAGATCTACTAATTGGGCTCATCAGATTCCATATAGCAAATCTCGCTTTAGCTATAAATAAATATCTAGAAGGATCTACAATGTGTAGAAATAATGTTTTAAAAACATCGAAACTCCTTTCGATTGTACCTATTATTATCGAGTGCGTAATTTCTAATAGATCGGAGATTCTATCTTAATTTATCGTACGATATTCGTTCTAAAATTGTACCACATTGTTCACAAACGGACTGAAAATTAATTATGTCAGACACAGTATCGATTATTTTTTATTTCGGAGAACACACCTATTCAGTTTCAATTATGACATCTGTTACATTATTACCGTATCTACTCTGTTAGACTTATGATATGCATGTTTCCGTCTCGAATGCGCGAACAAGATTGTATCGCTTATCCTTACTGTGTACTTTGTATTATTGCACGACCTGGATCAAAGGTACAGTTTAACAATTTAATAGCTCCGTAACAGGATCGTGAAAATTGCTCACAGGTAGACGCAGAAGAATGATTACACGTTTATTATCGCGATAAAAATAACCGTCGAATGGGTCAAGACGTCAACGTAATTCTCAAGAGCGCGTTATTTTATTCTCCATGTGTCATTCTCCATCGATCGAATGATAAAGGTCGAGGCAATAATGAGAGAAACACGTTTCTTACTATGATCGGCATTAGAAAAAGCTTGCAGAGGGAAGATAGTCGCGCGATTCGTACAAGGGTGCGTTTTTCACGTGATCCATTAAAGTTTCATGTGTCCTTCGAAGCATCGTCTTATCGAGGTTCTCTTGATTACGGAAAAGGTGGAGTAATATCACCTTTTGATAAACAACAGATTGTACCACGTGTACGATCAATAAGACCGGTGTGTATGCCTATAGAATCACATATCATAAGAACGGTGCCAAAAGACACGCGATCAAAAATAGGATTCATTTTAGGATCATCAAAACCTTGGGAAACTTCAACACTTCAAGGATATTACGGTGCTGGACAATATTGGCACACCGACTTTATGGCCGTAAATTTGTTTACTTTAGATCTTAACTTTCAAAGAAATAGTTAATAATTCCTTAGGTGTCTCATGGGGAAAAAAAATACTGACCACATTAGAAGCACTAAAAAGAACTATAAAATACACATTAAGAACAGTTTATTTACTAACTTAGTATCTTTAATATAGTGAAAACAAGGACATACGAGTACGATACCGTATTGCTTATCAAGTTTATATAGCATATTTTTAATGTATTACTACTTTTTCTGATACAGTGTAAATACTATACTGTGCCAGTACATTTATCAAACGTATGTATACACTGAGTTGAGAAGCAGTTTATTTATTTATTATATAAAACTGATTGGCAATCAATGCATTTATAGTAACATGGACAACTTATTTCGAAGCTAATTTACGTTTCCAGTTTATAAAATCAGTTTAGTAAGAGTGATTACTAAAATTATGAACGGATATTACTTTTGCAGGAAGTGTATTCGCGTTATTTAAGCAACCTATCAATCGTAGCTGTATTTTAATCGACTGTTTGTTGTTTTGCTGTTACGAAACCAGTCTGAGAGATGTATAGGAACTGAATGATATAAACATGTGTCATGGGTTACTTTCGTTTCGACTGTACGGTCGATTCAGATACGTAGATCTCACCACAGACGAGGTATAAATTGAAAAATTTCAAATCGTTCTAAAAAAATTATTCCCAGTCACAGGGGTGAATTACGATCATTTTTGGTGAATAGACATACCTCCGAAATCCTACCCACTTTCGAGAAAAAAATTGGAGAAGGTGTGATAAATTTCGTCAAAATTGAAAAATTTCAAATAGTTCTAAAAAAATTATTTCCGGTTACAAGGGTGAATTACAATCATTTTTGGTGATTAGACATATCCCCGAATTCCTACCCACTTTCGAGAAAAAAATTGGAGAAGGTGCGATAAATTTCGTCAAAATTGAAAAATTTCAAATCGTTCTAAAAAAATTATTTCCGGTTACAGGGGTGAATTACAATCATTTTTGGTGAATAGACATACTTCCGAAATCCTACCCACTTTCGAGAAAAAAATTCGAGAATGTGTGAAATTTTTCGTCAAAATTAAAAAATTTCAAATCGTTCTAAAAAAATCATTTCCGGTTACAGAGGTGAATTACAATCACTTTTGATGAACAGACATAGCCCCGAAATCCTACGTACTTTCGAGAAAAAAAATTCTTTAGCGAAAATAATATGTCTGATTCTGACATTCCGATTCCTCTGAAATTTCAAACAATGAGTATTAATGAATCTAGAATCTAGTATCTAGAATCTCTCATTAAAATTTTTCCCAGGAATGACCGAACACCCTGTATACTATTATGCAAGAAAACTCGCGCGCAGTTTCGTACAATTTCGAAGATGAATCACTAAGTTATCGACCACCAGTTGGCAAGCTGACAATAAGTTACAAGTTTCTGTTTATCACTTTCGCTATTGTTCTAATTCGAAATCTGGCAGCACCAACCATGTTATGCGTGAATTTTTTAGTTTCTAACGTCTCTCTACTGCGCTTTAACTTCATCAGAAGGTGAGTGCAAACTACGTACAATGAACGACTGTGAGTAACTTGCTCCCCGCGCATGATTAGTATTCGTTAGTTTACTCTGAATCGATGTCGATGACAGAAGCATTGTGGAATCTCGATAATTCTAGTCTCCGTTCTGAAAGCTCAATCGCTTCGACCGGTATAGAAAATGTTATGGACACGATTAGACACGGCAGACGGAATCGTTACTGAATGAACGTTCATGGCTACCTGCCGTGTGATTGATTTTATATACCGAGGCAGACATGCTATCCATTGTAGGCTACCGGCCACCCTTGGATTTATCATTTAACCTTCGTTAACCGACTGATACACAAAGTCGCTAGGAATAGTACCAAGTAAAAGCTAAGTACAATTACGTCACGAAGAATTCTAGGAGCCAAACGATTGATAAGACGTTACACTTGTTGTTTAATTAACACCCAACTTATACGATGTAATATCAAGATTATTTAAGTGATTGCTTGTTGCACGAAATTCTTTTTCCTTGTTGGAACGTGATATTAAAAGCTCGTAACGCGATTACACGCGCAAGGTCTTCCTGGAATAATTACTTCTATCTCTTTAAAGGGTGTTCGTGCTTTGATTCCCCCCACGTTATATTCTATTAAATTTTACGAGTGGTAATTTGCAAAAAATGTTTACACGTTGCGTGCACTTCTGCGTAGATGCGTGCCACACGCGACTAATCGGGGGGGTTGATTAAAAGAGTGTACGGAACTCATTACGCTTTTATGGCGGCTGAAACTTACGCTTTTTGACGATTTAATGAACGATCGATTCGCAGTATGATTATACCCTTTATACGAATGTATATTTGTGGTTTGAAGAATCGAAAACATAAAATAATAATTTTTCATAAGAGTCTTCGTTCGAGTTTGTGTTACAAAAATACTCGATAAAACAGAATCTTTTCGCACGATAAATTTAATTATTATTAATAAATAAATTGAATACAAATCGTAACGAATAAAGTACAAATTAATTATAAGTCAGATGAAGTATATCTCATACGAGTGGTTACATGTATTTTGAGTAATCAGCAAGAATTCGTAGAATAACATGATAAAATAAAATGTACTTGGAAATATTCGACTACTAAAAAGGCATCTTCGTTTGTTACAATCTCGTGTTTATATATTAGGGTAAGGTTGCTTTATCTAGACCGCCATTTAAATTGGACTGCGTTGTAACTTATCTATCGCTCGGAGTTTCAACGTTGCCATGAAACTATTACAGTATGTGGATTCACGTTTGAAAGTGTAATAGAGAAATATAATACAATTGTCGCGTAGGCACATATCATTGTTCTGAACAAAATTTATAGGTTGCACCAGCAGAGTATTGTGTCTATAAATTGTTGTCGAACACTCCAAGGTGAAATATATCAAACATTGTCTGTAAACTTGCTAAGACGAAATGTTATATACGTATAAATCATACTTTAATATTTAAGGTGACTGGACTTCCCACGTTGAAACAATTTAAAATACGTATTATAGAAATATTCGTATTCAATGACTGCAACTTGCTCTTAAAGACAACCAAGTTATGTATGTAAAAATTATTAATTTTAGAAAGTAATCGTCTAACAAAGGAAAAATTATTACATTACTATATGTTTAACTACTTGTTTGCTACACGAAAGAAAAATAAAAAATCGAGGATAAAATAAGTTTGACAGTACACAACATGCCTGTAACTCACAAAATAAATTAATCTTTCATTTTAAACTGCTGACTTTATTTTATAAATTTAACTTGCCAAGTGTCCGAATATTTCTATAGCCTCAAAATTAACCATGATTTTTTTCTGAAACTACGATTGTAAATACATAAATACTTCCTAGTATCTTTGCATTTCCGAATTAAACTTCTTGATAAAAAAAAAAAAAAACATCCAAGAAGTCACGTCCACTCGACGAACCCAAACATTCCAAAAATTCTCAACAGGTGTTAATTATCAATCGATGGCGTCATCGCCGTATGAATGGCGCGTACGTAAACGAACATCCTAAGTTCGCGATAGTCATTGCACTATCGCTTCGCGAGGACTCTGCGTGTTCGTGAAAAATGGCGAGAACGAAACAAAGAAACCCGATCGCTAGCGCGATGATTCATTGGCCGCGAACGATCAATCTCCCCGTAAATTATTAATCGATCGAACTTCGCTTTCCGCTGTTTCTCGCCATGCGTAACCGCGATAAACGGATCGACGAACGAAGTTTCGTCTGCCCCAACGTGTTCGATTAGTTTCCCGCCGCGAAATCGTACACACGCGAAATGTCAACGACTTTTACGATCGACTCGCGTTCCACGCCGACGGAACGTGGCTCGTTTCTGGCTTCTGGGTCACGGGGGATCGTGACGGATACGATTTTCGGAGCAGTAGGCCGCACGAAACAGAACGAACCCTCTACTTTTCCACCAAGAAGTCTTAATTCGTCTTAACGAAGATGTAGAAAGTCGGTGGATACGATTCGTTGGGCGTCAGACACGTAGCGACGTCGTATCTTTAAACGCGCACTCTACGTCGATCGAACAACGTTCTACCAAAAGCAGCTAAATAAATCTTCTAGATTTTTTATTACTATCATTTTCCAATCGTCCACCGCTCGATCTATGTTTACCATCTCGTTTATCGGAGAAAATCGAACCGCCTGTATTACTTCTATGGGAGTGTCTCTGATAGCAGCCAGCTGTCATGCAGCGTTTCTGCCTCTATTGCTCAGCGCGCGATACGAAAGCGGACGACAGACGCAACGTCACGCGTTGTTTGCGCGTAGGTGAGCATTCGTGCATGACGTTTGCCGTGGTTTTCGAGCAGACACGGTCAGCTGACGGGGAATCGTCTGTTGGGAACCGGTCTTACGCGCGAGAGACCGCGGAAGAAAGGAGTTCACCTTGAACAGTGCGACGGTGGCTGGGTTTCAAAGCATCCCTCGCAGATGAGTCTCTCCCAGCTGTCTTTCGGCCGATCGAATCTCGAGGAGAGCAACATGCGCCACCCGGCTTCACCACGCGCGAAACGTCGTCGTCACAACACTATCCACGTTATCTCCGAATCGTTCGTAGACGATTTACCGCGGCTTTGCCAGCGACGGATCAATTGTTGGTTAGCTCAATGACACGACGCGGGAACGCCTGCGAGGCGATTACGACCAAGAACCGCGACCCATCGGTTCACGCTCGAAATGGAGTCACCGGCTCACTTCAATCACTGATCGTCGACCCATGCCGGCTCGACGCTGACTACTTTACAGCGAGACGGTATTCTACGCCTGTCAGTGGCGTCAGCCTTCGCGCACGCGCAGATCTACTGCGTCATTGGCAGTACCGTAGCTACGAAGACGGTATTCGTTGAGAGATCGCTGCACTGCACTGTCATTTAGAAGCTGCTCTTAGCCAGAATTAACTATTCAACCAACGATGGCTGGAACTGCTTTCGCTGTTCTTAAAGATTCTCGGTTGTAAATTTTTAACAAATATAAAAGATTTAGGTAAAAAATATTATGTATATAGTGTTACATCACGTATGTGAATTGACAAATCAATGTATTGTACGACGTTCTTCAAAGTATTATTCGCGTTTTATATTATAGTCATGCATTGGTATTTCGCGAAACTTTATATGTAACATAGTATGTATAAACATAATAAAAATTGTTCTCACTTTTATTACAACGCTGACATCGAAAAGAATTAATATTTTACCTTTGTAAATACTGATATAAGGTAGGGGGTAGATTTATAATACCACGTTACTTGGTAGAATTACAAATCTTCGAGTCACGAACCTTTTATTGTAATCGTCGCCATTATCAGTCATTCCACCATCTGTTTTTTCTTATTTTAATTGAAATGTCATGCTTGGGGAAATAATACACTTTGTTTCTACCGTGAAATACCACAAGTTCTTGCAAAATTTATGTAGCGTAACAAAGCTAATATCTACTTCCTTATATTTATAGAATGTGTGATTGAAATGCAAATTTTATTGGAAAGCCTTTTCCCTCTATTTTGTTTGGGGCTGTTTTGAAAATAAAATACCATTTTCGAAAAATAAGGTCTACTTAAATGGCGTTGTACATTATACTGTGATTATTCACCCATTTGCGGTAAATACAAACATTACACTGTTAGATACTAATAGCAACACGAGGATTCATTTCCATAAACAGATTTGGTTATCTATTATATGCATTCCATTTTTTCATGCAATAGTTAGAAAATAGTGCTGTAGACTTTTTGTTAATATAGTTTGATAGGTAGTCGTTCGATACGGTATTAGATGTCGCTTGTAGTGCGGTTGATTCTTCGTGTTATAAATTCTGCCTCATCGACAGAGCAACTCCTTCGAGCTGCAACCGTATCCGCGCCTCGGAACATTTCCCTCGTCGGAAGTATAACGTGTAAATTAAAAATTTGTACCGATTACACGTCCAACTGCTTCATCATATAGTGAAAGAAGCCGAGTATCGAGAAGCTAAAACTCAAGGGTATGCATGTTGCTTTCGCCCATGCCCAGAGACTGTAAAATTAGCGAGACACCACAATTCGTTATTATATTCTTTCGTACGTCCTAGTATACGATAATATTTTATTTACATAATATCATCATATGTACAATTCTATGATAGAAATACATACCAAACGTACTGCTACTTTTCTACGGATCTATCTATACATAAGTGTAAAAACGCTCGATTCTTTGCAACTCGTATCTACACGACTCTAATAAAAACAAATACCACTTAAAACTACATCGAACCGGTCTATTACAACTAATCGCGGAAGATGAGATGCGTTTCAAGTGGAAACAAATCTATAAAATAAAAGGAACACTGGAATGAATGTTACTTTCAAGTATCTACTCCCAGAATACCGATTTTCTCAAAATTCTTAATTTACTTGTAACTGTTGTCAGCTACTGTAAAGGGCGATGACGTAGGGATCGTGCCGCAGTCGAAAATAACGACAGGTTTGACCGGCACATCGTCAGCGTCTGTCTTCGTTTGCTCGATCTTGAAGACCACGTCCTGGCCAGTAACGATCTACAGGAATAACCGATTAACTTTCCACGCTATAAACGTTTCCGAATCTCTCACCTTTCCGAACACCGTGTGCTTTCCGTCCAACCACGGCGTAGGGATCGTCGTGATGAAGAACTGGCAGCCGTTCGTGTTCTTCCCGGCGTTCGCCATGCTCACGAACATAGGTCCGTTGTGGCCAATGTCGAAATTCTCGTCCTCGAAATATTTACCGTAGATGCTGATCGATCCACTGCCGTCACCGTTCTCGACGTCTCCACCTGTACGAATCAGAGGTCGTTGTAGCGAGTTTCGGGCACGTTAGCACCTTCGATTACCTTGAATCATAAACTTCCTGATCACCCGGTGGAATCTGCTACCTTTGTACGTTTTCCCAGCCACACCAGTGGTAGCCAGAGTTACGAAATTTTTCACGGTTTTGGGAGCAACGTCACCGAACAAGCCTACCACGATTCGACCAACCGGATGATCGTCTATCATCACGTCGAAGTATACCTGTTCGGTGACTTGAAGACTATCATCCTGAAAGAATTTTTAACAAGATGTTAGGTATAAATTGATTGAAAGCTAAATATATAATTTTATTGACCTAGGCGTTGGTGGAGATCGGAAATGAGAAACCTTTAGGCGTTAGAAGGCAACGTGTCGCTCTATGAATTATGAGACGACACGCACACCGTATGAATAGACAATTTTGTCAAAATTATGAGAAGAGACAAACGTCTTAATTAAAAAGATACTTTTCAAATCGTAAGTGGAGATCTCTGTCGTCAATTTAAAATAGATGTTCGATAATTATTTCATTGTTCGTGACTTTAGTCATTTATTGAAAAAAATTGATACTTTTGGTCGTAAAAGAATCATCTCAGATCTGATTTTATTTAAACTATTAAAAAACAAGCTTGACTACGTATTGTACGAAGCTTAATCGTCCCCCATTGACAGAATTCTAGATATTTTATCAAATTAAATAGATCCCTGTAATTCAATAACTATACATATTTACTGTATCTTAAAATTTCAATAAAAAATGATGCAATCTTATACACACGATGGAGGACACTATGCTGCAGTTATACATGTGCACGAGAGAAACCTTACGTTGTGGGGCTCTATAAACACATCGCGTACTCGATCTATACTTCGATTCATTCTCCTTGCCTCATACAAATATCCATTTCAACAAATTCTAATTTTAATCGAATTCAACGCTGTAAATTTGTTGCACTTCCCTTACACACATTATTTATATCTATCGATATCTGTCGTCGACATTCGAGTTCTTGAATTATTTTCGTTCCCCCCCGGGGGGAGAATATTCACAACCCGACGATCTCGCGCCGATTTCGTTAACGATGTCGACCTAACGGATCGAAACGCGGAAGGACGGCGATATTTTCTGGATTAAGTGCGAAACGGTACCTCTAAAGTCGCGACGACCGCGACCAGGCAGGCTATCGTCAGCAGGATCTTCATGACTCTGCGATTTCGCGGCGAATGGTCCGAATTCTCGGACGATTTCAGATCCATCGGTCGACTACGAGCAACGATTATCACTTGCGGTCCGGAACGTCGCGCGAAGACTGAAACGGGCGTCGCGGAATGCCACTGTTTCCGAAGCACTTCGTAGCTTGTGCCGTCAAAGTGCTTCCGATTAAATCTGTTTAAACTGAACTCATTCCGAGAACGAATGATGCAATTCCTTGCAATCGCCCAATTACGCGTCGTTCCTATTAAAATTCCTACTTGGACATTGTACCGACCCCAATACCGCAATTCGAGAAGAACTTTTGCTGGGTCGGAAAGCCTCGCTGCGAACTGTCACGAACTAATATCAATTTGTTCGCGTTCAAGGTAACTTGGATTGATTCGATGGATAGAATCGATCGACAAGACATTAACACTAAGTCCTGACCACGAAGTGGGGGAGTAAAACAGTTTTGTTATAGCATTCATTTATATCCAATCTTTCTTTAATTTTAGTTATTTAACACCGAATAGTAATGAGGAATATGGACAAATTATTTTTCTATACGAAGACAACGGGAGAGTAGACATTTTCACTACTTTTAGTTTCTAAAAGAATGGTTATAAGGAACAGATTTAAATCAATTTTTGAAAACGGATATTCTAATGATAGAATATCATTTGCACGAAATAAGACATTTTTTATTTCAGATCAGAAATGCTGGGACTTTGAATTTCAGAATTGATCGAATTTATGATTCTGATATAAGAGGTGGGAGGCTGGTAACCAACCCCCTTATTATATGAAACGTTTTAATAATCCTGTTTCATCGGTTGTGGATTATAGATAGGAGATACGTATCTTGCAGTATCATTAAACCCGAAATAAGTTCCTCATTAATCTTCTGGAATGGAACAGAATGAGATTCCAGCCTATGGAATCCCACAGCAATTTAATTGAAATTAAAAAGTCGTTATATGTGAAACACAACATTAGGAACGACTGATAACTTGGAAAGAATATGATACTTTCTTAGACTTTAGAGTAATAGTGTATTCGTTGCATTAATATCACATTTGAGTGTACACTTTTCACGTTTAAAATAAAAAGGATCTACAGGATCCTGAAATCCTAAAAAAAAGGATATGCAAGGACATAAATTGAGCACAAATCCTTAGATGAGCAATTATTCATGAAAAGAATAAATCTTAAAAAATTGAATTTCTAATTCGAATTCAAAGACTTAACTGGTAACGGAGTCCCATTTGTTCTATCGTAATTTCAAAAGAATTCAAATTTTGTCTAAATTAATAACCGAGTCGTCTGTCTGTTACTCGAATTTTTTATTTAAATGAGAACGTGGCTCGTTTCTGTCGTAGATCGCGATCGCGATTATCTGCGAAAGCAAATCCTCTTAGCGCCAGTGACCGGGGTCAAAGATCCTCGGAGCTGGCGGTTCGAGCGACCCGGCGCGTCCGAGGCGGTTCGAGCGGAGCTCGTTAAGTCCCGTTATTCCCGATCGTCGACCGGGTCGAATATCATAAAAGGTGGGACCGTCGACGACCCGGGGATAGTCGTTCGAGGATGGACAAGAGTAGCACAATTCGCGGTGCTCGCGGTCGTTTTGCGACGTTCGCGTTCCTGGCCGTTGTCGGCCTCGTCGTCGCCGGGGCGTCCGTGATCGAACGAGAACGACGGGATTTCGTGATACCAGACTGGATCGAGATCGTCGACGAGCCCGTCGCGGAGACCTCCAAGACCATTCAAAGGGCGGTCAGGGTCAGGGACTCGAAGGTGACCTACGATGGCGCACAGGTGTGGAAGATCCGCGCTCCCGAGGGACAAACGGTGTCCAGCGTCGCCGTCGACTTCCAGGAAGCTGGACGTTCGTAATTTTTAATAAAAAATATCCGACAGATCGATTAACGTTCAACTTCGATAATGATTTTTTTATTGGGGTGACTGAATCGGATGTTTCAGAATCTTTAATCTCTACGTTCGATTAGTTAAAATTAATGGAATTGGTATTCTATGGTGATCGTACCAAGACGACTTAGACATTGATGACGTAGTGAAATTAAATTAAAAGATTCACAATAATAGTTTACTTTCGCGTTTCGGCCTTGGAAATAAATAAAATTGAAGTGCAAGTTCATATCGAAGAGTTTATCGATTTTAATAGTAACTAAAGGAATCATTCTAGTACTGCATCAATGTTAGTAGCACTTATGTCGACAGATATAAAACTCACGAATATCGTCACACGCAACTTGTTTTTCCAATATTAAAAAAGCTATAGAAAATGTTTTATTCAAATAACAAACAAATTTTCTGCAACATCAAGTATAGACTTTCTTATAATTATTCTTCACGAGAGTTCAAAGTTATCATTCTCAATATTATCAACATGTATCTCATCTTTGTGAATGTCATTTCAGTTAACTAATACCAAATATTAAAATTAATTTAAAAATATGATGTAGTTAAATTTCTAGTGTCTCAGCTTTATGCCTGAATTAGAAATCGATAATTGCAATGACTATGTTCGTCTGCTTCTCTGTGGCATACAGTATTGTCTCTTTGGGTCGGAAACGACACGGCGATCGACGTAATGGTACGCTCGGAAGAAATCCCCAGAGTCGCTCGATATTTGAAACAAAAGGACTTGGAATACCAGGTAGTCATCGACGACTTACAGAAACAAATAGACGAAGAGAACAACATACTCTCCGAGGAGGAGATGTTGGAGCTGGAAGGCCGGAAAGGTTTGGAAAACTTATTTTATCTAACTTTCCCGAGCGACGTTTCAAACGGCTCCAATATGAATTTCAAACCCTTATTCGACTCGCTTACTATTTTATGCTTCGCTTGATTTTCTCTTTTCGCCTGTACGCCATCGCGCGGATAGAATTCATTTATCCGCGAATCTACGATCCGTCATCTTCATTCGCTAAGTTTCACCTTCTTCCGAATCGTTCGGGGAAACTACCGTGAAACGCGTTCGACGGTGAGAAAAAGAATGTTTCACTTGTCATTTTACTCGTTCCACTGACACGAATGGCTCTCGGCGAAGCGTTTTGTCGCGATTTTCCAGTCGAGTCACGTATCGAAGAAAGCCGACGAAAACAAATGGCTGTCTTCACACGCGACGCAGATTCGAAAGTGATTTCTATAAGTGTCGTACAACAACCCGATAGGCCGTTAGAGATAGTGCAAAGTATTTTCATGAAATTTTTTGCCTAAACACGTCTCAACTGTACAGAATAAATTCTGTAAAACGATATCGCACAGGATCGAAACAACATCATTGTAATCGTTTATTCTAATCTAATCAGAATTTGTTAAATCCCATGGCACTCGTTTATAGAAATGCTTTGCGATAGATAAAGTACTTTTTATTTTTGTATTCGTCGTACCTTCTTCTTATATTTTCAAGTAATATTTATTCAAGCTTCTGTCAAAGCTGTAATTTTTTACCAAACACGAAAACATTATATTAACTATTTTAGACAGAAGTTTATGTCGCGTAACACCATTTGAATAATTGAACAATCGGTAAACCTCAATTTATTTAGAGAAAGGGCACTATTATTCTATGCAATGCTATTATTCGTTTCTCACAAACATTCCGACGATCAGTTATAAATAAAGTATGTGCATTTACAGCAACGCTATTTCCTAATGTATAAAACATTGACAGAAACCGCCTTCCACTCCCACGTTTACGCAAATAGGTTTTTCCCTGGCGCTTTCTTTTTCTTTAACGATGTTCCCACCGAATCAAACGTCAGTGTTAAAGACTCAAGGGACAGTGAACGTTTTGGAAATATCTTACCACAGGAGGACTAGTATAATTTAATTTCTCTAGGCTAAATCGGGCGAAACTTCCGTCCGCCTAACGACATTCTAATACGCGAACGGATTGTAAATGATCTACGGCCCCAGGTATATTCACGGACACGATTCGTTAGCGATCGTCCGAGATCATTAGCTGTTGGTTATTTTCGATGGAAAGGTACGAGGTTATCGACCTCTTCGCGATTCAACCTGGTAACCCAGTTCCGGTTACGTCGATGATGCAGATTTACATTAACAGTTATACACCGCGTGATCTGCTACGCACGTGCTCTCGATCATCTTCTCCAAACTCGACGCGGAACGGAGCCGCGTATTGTCTCGATAACGATTCCGTTACCTAAATCCTGCCAGCAACGTTTGGCAGTGGGCCCAGTACGAGGAACATTGCTGGAGAGAAACTTGCTGGGATTCGACTGGATTCGACTGGAATCGCAAACGAGCTTAGGAAAAGTATTGCAACTTGCAAATTAGTCGTTCTGCCAGTAACAAATTGCGGTAGCAAAAGACAAATAGCTTCTAGGAGGCCATTTGTGTTGCATCTTTTTAAATCACCCAGATCATTGAGAAAAAGAGCTCAACTAAATTGGTTAAATCGTATCATGCATAGAACGTGGCACGATTTGATGTGTTTGATTTATTATTAGTTTTACGATCTATATTGCTTGTCAAGAAACATTGCTGGTTTTTGGTCCAGCGATTTTGAAACTAAATCGTGTGCAATATCATCTCTTACAGTGTGACCAAAGTAGTCAAAATCCATTTGAATATAGATTTTCATAAAAATGACCGTTTGATTTCAAACCCCTATTTCTCGTAAATTTCAAGCTTCGACAATCTAACTTCGATGCGAGTAGCCAACGAAACACGAGTAGACACGCGATTCAAATAAAAAAATCGTGGGTGTTCATTTCGAAATTTCTAAACTTGCTTTTCTGGCTTCGATTTCGACTAATGAGCTAATTTTTTAGCTCGTTACGCTTGGTGGCAGGGATCCGCGGTCAGAGTGCGTGATAGATACTCACGACCTCGTCCTCGTCCTCTTCGATATCCTGTAACTAGCGTACGCGGTGGAGGTGGCCCTTGGCACTTTAGGGGTGAGCTTCTCGCGCGCGACAATCCGCTTCGTCGATTCAGAATCGCGCTGTAATTCGCGCAATCTACCAAATACTAGTACTCTGCTAATATACTTGTATCGGTGTCGGATCTATCGACTCTGAATCCACGGAGCGGAATGTTATCACGTATCGTTTAGGGGCGTCGAACGTGCAACCTCCGAATAATCTTGAAGGTATACCTGTCAGGTCATCGAATGGAGTGGTCCAGTTATCATCGTCTCGAGGACATCCATACCTATCTCGATTATCTCGCGGAGACTTTCCCTGATGTTTGTTCCGTCGTCAGCATCGGCAACTCGGTCGAAGGAAGGCCCCTTAAGGTATTTATTCCCGACTACCAGAACCTGGGACAGGTGATTCTTAACCGACGAATACTTACCACAAGATCCAACTTTTATTGTAGGTTCTAAAATCCTTGTTGTATTTATAGTTGTGCTAGCTTTCTTTAAATTGCTCCACTAGCCCAAAAAGATCAGGAATCCGTTCTTAAATGAGTAATAAAATTAGTAGATCATATACAAGACTGTACAAATAATAAATTAATTTCATTAATTCCCAGGAGGTAATACTAATATTTCAAAATAAAAAGCAAATGTGAAGTCGGTGATATAGGTCAGTCAATACCGTATTTGGTAGGCTAAATTAGTCGAGTCGGTCAAATTAGTATGCCACTCATTTGTCATCGTTGCTCTACTAGATTTAGGTTACACAATTGATATAGCAGTTGCTCTACCAACCTTACGATTTATCAATTATTCTTCTTCGTTGTGAGAATTGCAAAACGTGCAGCAAAATTTGCAGTTTAAAAATGTGATAAATGACGACGTAGGTTCTAAGGATCAGTAACGGGAATCAAAATGCGCCCGCTGTGTGGATCGACGGTGGAATCCACGCCAGAGAATGGATCTCACCGGCGGCTGTCACTTACATCATCGACTATCTGGTTGAAAATAGCGAAAATCTCGAGACCGATTTCTACATTTTACCAGTTGCCAATCCCGACGGGTACGTAATTAACAACTACTCAACACCAGCGTATTCCTGAAGATACGTTAATATCTTAGAACTGATTTTCAGATACGAGTACACTTTCGTCAGAGATCGTCTGTGGCGGAAGAACAGAAAACGCGCGATAGGCAGCTCGTGCACCGGCGTCGACCTGAATAGGAACTTTGGTTATCGTTGGGGCGGCATGGGGACCAGCAAAGATCCGTGTCGCGAAATTTACGCGGGCTCCGGACCATTCTCTGAACCCGAGACCAACGCCATTAAGAACTTCTTCGAAGCCAGCGCCGCCAATTTCAAAGTTGGTTCAACTTTTAATTCGCTGATTTAATTCACTCATCCAGTTCTTTAATCTCTCAACCAGTGAGATGGTTGAGCCTTCGTGAGCTCATTTAGAACAAACTATACGCTGCACCAAACTTTAATTTAAAAATAACAATTTGTCTTTCTATTAAAAAAATTAAATATGTTGGAAATTTCTATTCATCGTTCGCGAACTAAATTTTACAAACTCTGCTTACGAATTATTTTTAAATACCGAGGTTAGGCGTTCGAAGTCCCAAGGATGATAATTTGCAACGTAAAATCAATGTTCTTATCGTTTGTCTAGGCATACCTGTCGTTCCACAGCTACGGTCAGTTCATCCTGTACCCATGGGGTTACGATAAACGCGTTCCGCCTGATTACGCCGATCTCGAGAAGGTAGGCAGACAGATGTCCTCAGAGATGAGGAAAGCGGGAGGTGCCAACAGCGGTTACACGGTCGGAAACAGCGCTACCACTTTGTACGCGGCTTCCGGCGGATCCGACGATTGGGCCAAGGCGATACTCAAGATGAAGTACTCGTTCACGGTCGAACTGAGGGACACTGGGAAACACGGCTTCGTCTTACCCTCGCGTTACATCATCCCTACCTCGAAGGAAGCTCTGGCTGCTGTATTGGTCGTCGCGGATGCTTGCAAATCCTTGTAATTATCGAGCTACGATGAGTTACGATTGCATCAACTGTAACTCCTTATCGCGTTTTCACGTTCGGGAGCCCGTTTATGGGCAAAACGAGCGACGATGTTAATACGAATATTATTTATTGAATAAAATAAACGTTGACAAACACACGCGATGGATGTTCAAGAATTATTCAGCATGATCAGGATGATCCACGTGATGAAGGCGGACACTCTGGTGTACACGGACGGGGCGTTCTTACCGCCGCAGGGGAACAAACCCCACGAAACGATTCCCACTACCTCCGCTTCATCGAAAGCGTTCCTTCTGACCAGCGGCCCCCCGGAATCGCCCTGGAAAAAATACTCGATGGAGGGATAGTTCGTTTCACGTTTAATTTTTCTTTTCACCTATTGTACTACTCCACTTTACGAAAAATATTTAACCCTTGCAATCACTTTAAAACAATAATATCGTTGTGTTTCCTTAGAGGGTACACCCAAATTCTTTGCTAGGGGTCCCTTCAGAGGGGACTGTCGAGTGCAAAGGGTTAATCATTTTTGAAAAACAACCTTTCCTGATATTGAAATTGTTCATGATACAACTTTTAAAAGGTTAGTTATCTTCAACCCTCTGCAACTCACATTCAAAATAACTTCTCCAACATCACCATCCTCAAGGTTTTCTAAACAGTGTTCTCGATCTTATTTAATCTATTTTTAAATTTGACTTATCCCTGTAAGCCCCGACATCGTTTATGACGAAATAACCTTGCAAGCTGATAAACTGCCGTCCAAAGGTCCCGTGCAGATGTTCGTCGGATGAAGAGGATTCCTTTCTTTCCGTTTCAAGCTTTTGTCCAGAGTAAGTTTGCACAGATCGTAATCGATGACTGGCAACGTGGCTGCCTGGAGGACCTCCGGAGCCTCGATAGTGCGCGTCCTTCCGATGCTACCCCAGCCAGTCAGCATTACGTCACCCGTGGGGATTGAATCAGGATACGGCAACGACACCGTGGAAACGAATGGGTTCAGATCGAATGGCTCCTCCAGCATCATCAGTGCGATGTCGTACGGCGCTACTCTCCTAGAATAGACGTTACGTTCGTGAAGAGTGATCGAAAAATCGAGTTCTCTGGATTTTCGGATGTTCATTTGAAACTTGGAAAATTCATGAGATCGTAAAGATTTAAATTTGGACGTGTTTGAAACTATCGCGAATAGTAATATAGTAAAAGCAAAGAGATAGATTATAGTTTCAAGGATAACATTCTCCGGCGTACGTATACACTTAATCGTGTCACGGTTGAACGAATCTTGAACCATTATTCATTTTTCTATTTGTGTAAAGTCGTGTCAACACGACGTGCACTTGACACAATCTAATAAATCTGTTGTCTTACTAGGTTATTATTTTATGGTTCCAACTACTAGCTTCTATCGATCAATCGCAACGATAAGATACAGTAATCGATGATGCCTGGATACAATTCTTGTATTGTATCGTAGCGTGCACCAACGTTAATGAAACGAATATCGCTTATGATATTAACTTTGAAACGACGTACGATCTATTTCAAATCCCGAAACGAAAAATCTTCTTCTCACGGACACGAACGACACGCTCAATTAGAATTTTTTCAAGTCTGAGAAAGACTTTGGTATGGCTGATTAAAGAGGGAGACTCGTGTAAAATGGTAAAACGAGAAGCGATATTTGATATAGTTTTATCGACTTTGGATGAGATAATAAATGTGGAAAGTGGCGAGAAGTTTCATCAAACCCATATGCTGTAAAAAAAATTGTCAAATAACACTAACGTCGCATCCTGTAACTCACCCGTCATATTCCGGATGGACGAAGACTTTCACGACCAGTCTGCCCTGCTCGGTGTCCTCCGGAACGCTAAGGTTGTACTTCCCAGCCAGGATCATAAATTCCCCTCTCGGTGGCGCGAGAGTTTTGCAATGACCGGCTGTCATCACCCATCCAGCCGTCAGCAAACTGCCACCGCAGACGTGTCTCAGCGGAACTTTTCGTTCCCGATCGCCCCAACGTACCGACATCTGCCAAGGATGCAATCCTTTTTCCGCGTTCTTCCCTCCGACTATCCTCGCCGGCCTTTGTGCCAGCATCGCCGATTTCGAGATCATCTCTGTCAACGAAACGATTAGATAAGATTAACCGAAGCTCGTGAATCATTCGAATACTCCATCTTATACAGTTTGCAACTAAGTTACTCTCCCCCCTCACCATCTATTTCCGAACACGACGCGAGAGCGAAACTCAACACTGTCAAGAAGTCCAGCGATCTTCGGAAGTTTGTCATCCTGGCAGAATTTTACTCGTGGCCCGTTCGATCGATCATGATCGAATGGCTGGATCGAAGTCTGGTTTTCAGTGTCAAGGTGGCAGCTATCGCGGAAGCACATCCTGAGGAGGAACTTGGAGAGATCTTTCTTCCTACCAGCCCGATTAGAACTGGTTCCTGTCTTCGAAACTCTGCTGACCGCAAATGGGTGCACCAATGCTGTAGTTTCTTTCGCTGGGCACGCATCGAACGCTCAATTCCACGATACCTACAAAACAGAATTTAATCGTGGTTATTTAAACTATTTCGGTACCGCGAAATCCCCTTTAGGTATCGATTCTGACGACTCGTAGTCGATAAACTTTATTGTTTGAATACAAAAATAATTCTCTATTTATTCGAAATAGACGTAATAAATGATTCGTTATAAACAGTTTTTTATTATATTTATTGTTAGTTTCACCAGGAACTCCCGAATGTGATTTCACTTTTCAAATTGTGAGAAAGGAATTTTAAGGTGAACTATTTATTATTCGCGTTTAACCCTTAAGTGAACTCTCGATCTCAACTGAATTATTTTACTTAATGTTGTTGTGTACATCGAATTGGTAAATGGAGAATTACATAAATTTTCAAATAATTACATTTAAATAGATCAAGCAATTATTAGCTTAAACTTGCTCCAATAATCCATTTAAGGGTTAAACAAGGAATTTTTCGTACGGTACGATGGACATTTTCGAGTGAAAGCGAGTTACGATCGAATGCACATTTTATTTAAAGTTCCGTTTCTATTTCACAGTAGATATTTTTCTGCTATATCGTTTAATTATTGGCCATAGTTTTCTCGATCCAATCGTTGAAGGCGGAGGTTCTGGTGTACACGGACGGTGCACCAGTAGTGCCGCACGGAACGATTCCCCAGGAAACGACACCGATCAGCTCGGACTTGCCGCCTTTGTTGAGAATCAACGGGCCGCCGGAGTCACCCTAAAATCGTGATTTATTATTAGCGACGCCAGGTAGCGATTTATGGGAGTGAACGGCGAATAGGATCTGGTTTCTTACGCTGCACGCCGAGATACCACCGGAGAGAGGACCGCTGCAGACGTTCGTCTCGTGCAATGGAGACGGTCCGGTAAGGCCTTCCACGGCTTTCTTGCAGGTGGCGAGATCGATGACGGGCAACTCGACGTATTGAAGTTTGTCGGGCATAATGGGATTACTGGTTCTCGAAGTTGATCCCCAACCTGAGAGAACCGCGGTTCCGGATGGCGTGCTTCCTGCCTGTGGCAAACTGATCGCTTTAACCGCGTTGTCCAGCCTCAGGGGCTGCGCCAGTTTCAGCAGCGCGATGTCGTAGGGTGCAACGTTCCTGCAATCGTAAAACGAATTAATACGGACATTTCGAAAAGAAATTTCAAATTGTTCAAACTCTGTCATACGAAAACGGTGACGGCCAGTTTTCATTCGATACGAAACGATCACCCACCCGATGTACTTCTCGTGGATGAAGGTCTTCAAGACCTTGATGGTCTGTTCGGTGCCCTCCGTTTGTTTCAGATTGTGTTTGCCGACTTTTACCACGAAATCACCGTAAGATGGAACGGCCAGAACGCAGTGTCCAGCGGTGATAACCCACTCGTTGTTCAGGATGGATCCTCCGCAGAAGTGGGAGTAGCCGAAGAGCCACCCCCATTGGAGGGAAACCTGCCACGGGAATTGTCCTGGCTTGGCTTCGGATCCACCGACGACACGGGATTCGAACAATGGCGATATCACGCTACGATAGGGTTTCACTGGAAATAACAGACGATTCCAGGATCATGGAAACGTGCATATCGTAATCGTCAAACCGTGATATTAATTAAGAGTGTACTTACCAGGGTTTGCAGCCGCAGTCGCGAAAAGGGCGGCGAAGACGATCAGTTTGAGAGACATATCGATTGATTGGTACAATTCTCATCGTCGACGGGGTTTATATAGAACGTCCTATCGATGACGGTGACGAGAAGAAAAAATTTTAATCGACGGTGAGTCCGCGAGATACGCCCGATAACAAAGATTCATTCGCCACCGAGATCTCCTCTGTATTATTGTGACTGATGAAACTGGCTTATCGATTTTTGTGCACGTACAAGCACGTCTTAATTATGAAACTCGAAAAGTCGATAAGCTCGTGTGCTCTATTCAGGATCGAAACAATTAGAACGACGAAGAAAATGATAGATTTAGGCGTATGTACGTACTATTTTTTCGTAGATAGGAGATAACGATAACCGACTACTAGTAGAATTATATAGTGCAATCATTAAATAAGGTTATCTGTATTTACTTAGAGCATATTTAGTTAATTTTGAAATTGCGTTGTCTATTATGGCGAGTTTCTCTCTGATTTTTTTTTCTCGATTGAAACAATAACGGACAATAAACACAAATCATTAGGAAATCAAAATGCTAATACGCGTATGTACGTATTCCGTCTCTTCGATAATTCGTTTAACATTGATTTCAATCAACTTAATTTCGAAATTTGCATGATCGATTCGTTTCTTGCATTGTTGCAATATCCTTTCGTCTTCGCGATGAATGGCTCAATCATGCTTATCGATAATCCTATCGGATCATATTATTCGACGCGTGATTATTTCTATACGACGCGAAAAAGGGGAGGTAAGACAGACGCTTTATCTTCATTGCCATCGAGTTTATTTTCTCATTTATTGTTTGGAATTTTCATACACGATCTGCGTGATCTCGAAATGCTAAAACGAGTAAAATGCTTTTGATTGTTTATGTTTAACAGATTCGGTTTAGACCCGGTGCAATCGCTATGAGGTTATGCGAGGATGGGATTTATTCTATGTGTTGGTTGATCCAGTCGACGTAAGAAGCAACGCGGGTGTAGACGGATGGCATGTGGCTAGATCCGCACGGCATCATACCCCATGATACGATACCAACTTGGACAGCTCCGTTGCCGATCAGTTGAGCGAGTGGGCCACCAGAGTCACCCTGTAAATTGGACAAATAAATTGAGAAATACTCTCACTGCAATCATCGCGAACTTTAAGTTACTTATCAATTGTAAAGTCATTTGAAAAGAACTTTCTGATCTGTCTGAGTCACTAAAAAGAAACGTCAGACTCGAAGATCGACTAGAATGTTGATAAAGATTACAAGTTGTGTATCATACAGTAACAGTAGATAATCTATTTTTCTAAACTAGATACAGAATGAAAATGTCGACTTACAGAGCAGGCGGATACTTCTTTGTCAGCCAGACCGCTGCAGACTTGGGTCTCGAAGAGTTCAGGTTGTTGACCTACGATGGGTTGGGAGGTGAGTTCACGGTAGCATTCGTCGTTGTCTAGGATTGGTACGACAGCCTTCTGGAGAACAGTCGGCAGAACGGGGATGATTTTCTTAGAGATGGAACCCCATCCAGAGAGGACGGCTTGTCCAACTTGTTTCTGACCCTGGGTTGGCAGAAGCACGGCACCCACGACTTTGTTGAAGGAAAGGGGGGTTGCCAGTCTCAGAAGGGCGATGTCGTGTTGGGCAACGCCTCTGTAAATTCGTAGAAAAACTATGTCAGTAAAACGAACGAGTTTGTTGTTGACGTCGGAGTAACAGTCAAAAGATCGCGTGGACCTTATCTCGTTGTACTTACTCGGGGTTTAGGAACTGCTCGAACTGAGATTACGAATCATCCGATAAAGACGCGATAAAGCTGTATTAGTTTGTGCAACATATTCTAACTTATAATTTCATTTTGAAAATTTTTATTATCATCCTGCGTGTGAGATACCGAAACTAACGAAACGATAGAAGTTTTGGAGTATTTGTTTGACGTTATCAAAGATTTCAATATTCTGTTGTTTACATGCAATTTTTAAAACCAATATATTTTTATCGAGGACAGAAATAATATCTCTATGGTATATATGGAATATCACCCCCGTTGAAACTTACCCTGTGTATCCGCTGTGAACGGTGGTTTGAACAACGTTGATGATTTGATCGGTCTGTTCGGCTTTGTTCAGGTAGTATCTGCCAGCAACAACCCTCAATTTTCCCAGTTTCAAGACACAGTGACCAGCGGTCAACACGTATCTTTCATTCAAGATGGAACCACCGCAGGCATGGCTGTACTGGGTTATGGGTGGGATTCCCCATTCGATGGAGACCTGGTATGGGAATTCTCCTGGCGCGGCATCAACCCCATCGGTGATACGGGGAGACAGACCATAAGGTATTGCCGAGCATACTATAAAACAGAGCCCTCGATAGTAATATCATTTAAACCACGAGATCGTGCAAATTTAAAAATAACCACTACTTTCCAGTTGATCGCCATGTTCAAAATTGTGTAGGGTGAGTGGTCCGGGGTGCGTGCATGCGTGTGCGCGGGCGAGCGACCGGGTCGTGTTGGGATAGACCGGCGCCGGTTTTGTTTAGGAAACTCGGGTGACTGAGAAACTGTGAGTGAAGAGTGTTTAGACCTGAGCGATAGGAAAGTATAAATGTGGTTGTGTACCTCTAGTTTCCCTTCAAATCACGTATAAATGGTTGTATGAGTGTAACCGAGAGACAGAGTGCAAGCGAGACGAATGCAAGGGGATGCATCTCCAGTTGGGGAGTTGCGTCCAGAGTGCGTATAGTCTGGCGTTGGGGAAAGTGTAACATTAGGTTAAATATAATACATATGCACAGCTATCAACGCGTTAATTGATCCTCCCCATTCCTCAGAATCCTACCAATTGTATATTTATAAAATGAAAAGAGGCTAATGATTTACATATACTAAACGAATTAAAATTATATTTAAAGGAAACTTTCAATTTCTGTACAATATTTTAACATTTTATGCAACATTTTTTGATGGACTCAATTCTCCGACAATTCAATAAAATTATACAAGTACATAGGGCAAACGTCGAATAAATAAAACAACGTAATTTTATATTTTAGTATAATGAACTATATTGTTGATAGTAGTGACGTATTTAAAAAATTAGAGATCGATGTTCGATGGAGTTTGTGCTTACCTTGGAGCGCTACGGCTGCTACTAACAAACACTTGGCGAGCATTGTTCTACGGTTGTTGTCTCTGCAGTACTTGTGGTTTCAGGTGAAAATTACGATTTATATAAGAAGTTATATCCCGATATCTAGCGATAATTCTGTATTGTAATCGAAAACGTGACACCACTCGATGCTATTTACATTACTGCTGGCCATAAGATTATTTAATTTTCAAGTGCGGTTCGATATCGTGCAATATCTGCTGTAATATGTATTAGTATACTGTGTTCATTTAAATGATTGTATCGGGGTAATGACTTAGTTAGATAATTCGTGCTCGCAGACAGCTTGCGCGAACCGCAGACGATGATTTTTAGACGAAACGAAGTGCTTTTCATCCGTTACGGCCTATAAAAAGTGCTCAGGTCACAAATAATTGAAATGGAAATTCGTTTCAAGACTCGTTTATTCTTTACATTTACCTACGGTTCTACTTAAATATATTCCTAAATACATCGTTTGTCTGTGAACTACGATAAATAACTTTACAATATTTACACGTTCTTCGTGAACGAGGACGACGGGTCCAAAGGTTAAAAATAAATTATTCTCGCCATATTGAAATTAATCGGGCTCCGATTATCAAAACTAAACGATCAATTCTGACCTTAAAGTTATAAAAGGATTTGGAGATTAAGCACTTGAACTTCATACTCTATTCGGAATTATCTTCTATCGAGAATAATCGGAAATTTTATCGAGTCTATATATTGCAAATACGTAACGTGCTAGATGAATCACGTTCGTCGTCCGTACCTTCGTTTAGACGATACTTTTTATTCGATTTACATAGGATCACGGACGTGTTTCACGTATTGCAAGTAACCAGACGAACGATTGTCCTTATTCCGGCCCAAATCTCGCGGGCGGTGGGCACTATTTGCGTCGCCGGAAGTAGAAATCCGTAAGTGCCACGATCTCTCAGTTCCAACGTGTAGGCGTACTTAATTCCAGCTACACCTTTGGCCCAATCATCAGAAGCACCTGAAATCGATTGTCTAGAATCACATCTTGCGCTTCGACTGGACCAAGAACCGACAACCTTCTCAATTTTTTGCTAACCATTCTATTATTTTAATGTAACAGGTTTCATTGAAGATTTCAGATCAATCGACCCAAGTCACTTTAACGTTATAGAAAATTACCGTGTTGAGATGATTAATAGTTTATTTATTGTTATTGTATTATTGTCTAAACAGATTTTACTGCAATTTCTGCGATAATAATTGTCGAATAATTCTTATTAATCGTTAAATTACAAAATGGAGCAATAATATTTTCCTTGTCATTCGATCAATTTATCAACTCTATTACTATAATAAGTATTTTATCATGTTAGGTCAAAGTTTGACCGTCACAATTAATATAATTTTATCTTGCCAATCAGGTGTGTGCATCGCCAAGCGTTCTGCCAGATATCAGTTTAATTAATTATAGAACACCGAGGTGGTTTTTGTTTAATCAGTTACCGAATATTATCGAGCCAATGGGATAAGAATCTGTTGTTGATCGCGATAGTAACGTAAACTTTTTGTACACTGACGTACCTGAAGTGGGGTACAACAGATCGGACGATGGACCAAGTTGATAATCGGTGCCGTGAACCTTCGAAATAGCGTTTATCGCTTTCTTGGCAGCGTTCGCCAGCTCCGAATAATCGGAAGGCTTGGAGTACGTGTATCCCCACGGAACCAGCCACATTTGCGAGTAAGAGTGCAGCGTTAAATACATTCTGAAAGCATCGTGGATTCAAAAAAACAGTGACCAGCTTTCTAAATTCCGAAAATAGTTGTTCGAATATTCGCCGCCTTTGTTTCACTATTTTCGAGATTTGTTTACCTAATTTTCTGCTTGTTGGCGAGGATGTAGTCGGCCATTGCTTTAGTCTCCGGCTCCGAGAACGCGTGTGGTCCAGCGTAGGTCTCGTCACAGGGGTCAGAACTTGCTCCACCGCTCTCCATTTCACCCCAATGGTAACCAAAGTTCCTGTTCGGGTCGACGCCCTCGCACTTGCCCCAGAACCACCTGGCGTAATGGTTCATTAGTCGAAGAAGGCTGAAATAAAAGCACAAGCTCGGATGAACCCGTAGCTTTTCTCTAATTGTGATATACAACAAATCGTTACGGTGAAAAAGTCGAATTCTGGAAACTGTGTAAAAATTTTATTATCATGTAACGACAAAAAATAAAAAAATAATCTTGTTAGATGTGTTGCATAAATCGAAGCATTTTTTAATTATTTATTGATATCAACAAGTTTAAGAATATGTAATCGAATTTTGTATTTTCTAAGGATGAGTAAAAGGTCGTATAAACGTATAAAAATTGTTCGTAAATAACTATAATATTATGAGCATTGCTGATATTTATTTCTGTTCGATGTAAATAATGTATGCGTGCCATCTTGATATTAAAGGCATCTGTGTATGTTTCATAGTTAAGATAGTATTATCAAGATGGTTTATTTTAATATCGAGTAGACAGATAATTTTATCGACAACTTGAAAACACTCCAAAAAAACCGGATTATTCCTAACAAAATCTCTGAAGCGTCGATATGACTCGTACATTCTTGCAAAAGAAAATTATTATAGTTAATTTTTTCTAATTTAAAAACTAGAAATATCGGTAGTGTTATATTACAATATTCTTAACGATACTAATGTTATTTGAAGATTTGCAAGTATGCCACAGTAAAAGCCACGTATTAATTAAGTTGCAAAGATTGCTAAAATACTCCATCATAAACAAAATTTGATTATATCTTGGAAAAAAAGGAGTTTCTGAATCTACATTTATACGATCTCTTTTCATCTTCGATCTACTTTTCAAGAAAAGTAGAATAAACTATAGTGAGACTATATATTTCAGTTTCACCCTATATGAACACGTGTTCCATATACATCAGTGCATGCACAATTCAGTTAGAAATCAGCCACAAGTGTTTGAATGCATGCTACAGTCCATGATACGAATTGCATGCGACTACTCAATGGCTACTTCGAATATCATTCTAAAATCATGCAGCAATTTAACCTCGTAACCTTCTAACCCTAGTATATTCGAGAATTATAGTTCAATGAGAAGATAGCATAGCAGTAATAATGTCTTAAACATTTTAATCATTGTTCGTGATATTAAGGATCAAAGCAGCGAAGATCGAAGAATCAACAGGGTGAAATCCCCCATAGTTTTCCGGAAGATGTGTCGTACCGACTACCCTCTTCGTTTTCGCCATGATTGCTTCGCGTTTTCCTCCAGAGACGATCCCCGGTGTGAGTAAACTCGTATCCGTCCGGATTAGCGACAGGCAGGATCATCCAGTCCGAATTATCGAGTAATTTCGCGTAGCTCGCGTTTTTCTCTACCAGCTGGCTTACGATGTAGGTCGCCACGGCGGAGCCGATCCACTCGCGTGCGTGCATGCCTGTCGAATGTGAACACGATTCGAGGAAGAAAAAAGAATATAAAATAACGGTATAGGGTCGCATTAAACGCGAACAGCATAAGAATTCAGTATTTTCAAAAATTTCAAGCGATCCGCTGGGCCTCGCGAAATGTGCATAAACTTCTAAGTAGTCGCGACACGTTTTAAAGATGTATGATTTGTGTGGGAATGTTTGAGTTTGTGTATTTTGTATAACAAGCGATCTAGGACACAGATCTGGTGTATATTCATTATATAGTCGGGTCTAATTTAGAGTTTTAACTTGTGAATGTTTGTGAGTTTGTGTATTCGTATGTTTATGAGAACGTGTATTTGAAATAGAGTCAGTTTGGAAGTTTTAGGCCTAAGTAGTTTTTAGATGGTTGATGTACTAGTTAGCAAAATTATATCTCGAACGTTTGAAGAGATCCATTGGATCTTGATAAAAATATTAATAATTTTTAATATTTTTAAACGAGTAAGATTGTTACAATCGTAACAAACGCCCCGAATTTTATTGATTCGATCTTTATGAACAGGTACATGATCGTTCAAGACTTTGGTGTATTGGAACTTCTAGATATGCGTAAAATCTGATGCAACATTTATCGCGTTTGCATCAAACGAAAGTCGTACAAACGAAGATACGTCTGACACATTTCGAGCATTACGACTCCCATAAATTTAATTCGGCTGAATATTCAGCGCTGTCGTAACGTTTAGTCAAATGGGGAAATAATCTTAAACTCTTTCATTTGCGTATTTTCTCACGATGTTTTACAAATAATTTATATCAATTTTCTTTTAATTGAAATAATAAGGGTACCTTGATTTTCTGAAATTGTACCATAACATTTTATTTGGTGTTGCAAAGACGATCGTTTCTATTCATAATTTAGAGAAATCATATTAATATTATGATTCAAAAACAAAAATGGTCAAAATTCTTATCTAGATAAGAATTTACGATAACGAATAAAAGACGAACTGAATAAAAGAATAAAATGTTTTCACGATGAACAAATGCAAACATAACGTTCAATTAAATAAACATTATAAATTGCTATATATTGATGATATCGGTTATTTAAAATTTTACTCATCTCTGCTCGAAAATAATGTTCAAAATTATTATAAGAAATTTGTAAAGTCTTTCAACGGACAAAAGTTCTGGAACATTCGTCGAAACGAGAGTGCCTTTGGAATAGTTCGAAAGAGTTCTCAACGGAAGCCTAGTTTCAATTCTAGCATACACGTGTCACTCGCGCGATGCCTCGCTTATTATGCAGAGTTCCACGGGAACTACATAAGAATAATAAAGATCCAGATTTCGCGTTGGACATACGAACTCTAAAGCCACGGGGCTGACCATGTTTTTCACTGTTGCTTGAATAATTTCGCGCGAATGTCGAGCACGTACGCGCGACGCGTCTCTTCAGTCCGCGTGCATTTCTCCGGAAACTGGGTAAAAGCAATTCCGAAGAAACTTTTTTGGAACGAGCGAAACTCACCAGCGTCTATCCAGACCGCCGACTTCGCCTCTCCTTCTTTGTTGAGGCCAGTCGAAATTTTCACCATTTTTATGGGCTGTCCCTCGTAGCTGTGACCTATAGTTATCAGCTCTACCATTTTCGAGTACTTGAAGGCTAGGTACTCCAAGTACCGTATGATATCTAGAAAATGAAGGCACGACAGTATTTGGAAATTAAACTACGCGAACTAAATTACCGTATCAAAATAATTATTGCTATTGACCCTAGAACACCAACATGGCCGTATATGATTCAATGTGTTTATAAAACTAAATTAAAATCCGTGATGTTTCGAGGAAGTTATAATTAACATTTTATTATAAGAAGAATAATAATATTCCTGGTCTTCGAAGTTTAAGATGCTCGGCGATAGAAATGGCTGTAGCTGTATTAATCTTTTCAAATTTCGTTTCATGTAATTTCTGTTGAGTCTTTGCATGATCCATTACGTGGGAAACATCCATTTGATCCATTAACTGGGAAACTTACCTGCGTATCGATGATACCTTTTCCAAGTCATGCTGTGACCTTGAGTGGTGACGAGGTCCTCGCGCTGCTCCTTCGACATTTTTGGATTCTGATAGGCTATCGTTTTCTGCCATGAAACATAAATTACAGCAGAAACTAAAGAACCTTCGTACCCAACGAATCTCTAAACTTATTAGAATCATCTGTCTCAAGAAGGAAGCCTCCTAAAAAATGTTATCCCTTCAATTTATTTCCTCGCGTAGAATAATCGTGTCGTCGTTTTTCCTATCGGTTACCAGACACATCGACGATATTACCCGCTTGAAAAAACTTCCCGTAACAGTACTTCGTACCTGAATATCCGGTATCAGTATTTTGAAGTCGATCCCTCTGTCTCTAAGAAACGCTTTGACATCGGGAATAAGATCTGGCGCGACGACCGCGTCTATCGTTCTGGAACATCGTTTCCTCGTAAGTATGTTGGATCGATTACATGTAAAAAGCATAGACGACAAACGAGGTACTTGTTATAAAACGGCTGCGTCCAGAACTTGATGTCTTCCGGTTCGCTCTCTCTGAGGTCCCTGAGATCGGTCACGTGGTTCTCCGTGCTGGGGAACAATCTGATCAGCTGATGGTTCCTGTAACTGACTCTGGACGACCGTGACTTGGGACTTTTCTCTGCACCGATAATACTAGTCATGATGGAACCGATGCCGTTAACCACCGCCGAGAACATCGACTCGAAGATATCGGCAAAAGAAAATCCTCTTTCCGCATTCCTGTCAAACGACGTTCCAGATTCGATCGCGAAACCATCGCCCGTATCGTTGGTAGTCTCCGTTTCGTTCGTGAATCTAAAAGAACACCTGCGACTTCTCTATCGTACACCAACCTCTGAGAGTTTCAAGAATCTTATCCTATCGGGGTAGGAAGATAACGCGCGTTTAAAAACTTAGATTTGCTAAACCATCGACTGCGGGCGTTTCACGCGCGCGAGCATTCTAATTAGAATACAGTTTATCTAAGCTGGTCACACACACGTGCAAGCTGGCCTTTACGGCGAGGCACGTCCTCTCGAACCAGTCTTTTGCTTATCGCTTCCGTAAGAGGTCGAGGCTGCTTGACCTCTTCGAGGATCTATGGTTGTTGCTATGGTACGCAACATAGCTATACTACGGTGTAATAAAATGAAAGGAAACGTTTTTTTCTTAACCTAATTGTAATAAATCGATATAAAATAAGTAAGTAATTTTGTAAAATAAATTTAGCAATCCGCAGTCAATGGGGTTACAAAAGAAAATTATTTCCGGATTCGAGAGACCTTTGGGGACACAAATCTCTGTACATTCACGTACGTTTCACATCGTCGCCATCTTCGAGTCGAAAGATTAAAAAAAATACAATTTTTTCAATCATATTTGCACTGCGTGCTGTATATAATACGTCGTTCTGATCATCATAATTTTATCATATAAAATGTGCTTGGTGTTACATGGAACACTGAAACATTTGATTCAGAAAATTATCAATTTTACGAACGTAGAAGCTTTCCGGTATGAAAATGCAGGAATTCGTTAAAATGACTAATACAGTACTGTATCATCGGAGATTTCGATCAATCCAGAAAATGAGGGAATCATCGAGCAACCACGAACCTGTTTATTTTCTGGTTTGCTTCTTCCACGGACCAACTCTCGTTGTCCAATGGCGAACAATTGTATTTTCGTTGCACGGAAAATTCGTAATCACCGCGCCGCGGTCGCGCGTCCGCTCGATCCGACGAGAGGATCAACGAGAAACCGAACACAACGCACAGGATCGACTCGACGTCGACAGCCATGGTCGGCCTGAATCAGGCCAGAATATGCGATCCTCTTGAAGCCTCCTTGTTGACTGTTCCCGTGGTCCGTGTCGGAACCAGTCTGCGACTTGTTGCTCGTAAGCGTATGCGAAAAACGACAGTTTCGCCGGTCGACTCCACGGGCTAGGCTTACGGGATTTCTATGTGGTATTCGATACTGGATCTCTAAGCAGTTAGAACGGATCGATGATCCTGAGGATTCGTCTACCGAAAAGTTGTCCGCGCTATAGCAGCGAGCACAAAGAATACGAATAGTCTGACACGCGTACGATTATTTTTATTTTATTCGACGACGAGAATCAAAGAAAGTAATTCAAGCTTAATCCGAGTTGTGATTTCGCATGCAAAAATTGAGCAAGAGCCTGTATTATTCTTTTTATTTTGTCATACTTTAGAAAATAAAGTGTATCGATTGTACTATGCGATCACTTCAATACCTATAATATGTAGTGTTTTTTATCGAAAAGCCTAGTAAATCGACTCTCGACGGTTCCGGTTTTCAGAATCTAGAGACTGACAGAAATATAGGGGTTACTACACCCCGAGTAATTTAATTTCGAGTCTCTGATAGCCCAATAAACACTAATATTTACGCGTTGCCAAGTGCTGTATCATATTTCAAATAGTCAATGTCTCGCAAGACGTGTCTCGCGGGAAAAATGTATGATATAATCTTTTCTAGATAGAACGCGTTGTTCGAGTATCGGCAAATGGAACGTGGCCAGTAAAAAGTTATTCCTCCACTTTTCTCTGTGGCGCCGTACATTCCATTCCTACTCCGTTAACGGTAATCTAGGTAATCTCGTACTTACCGTGCAGCACGCCCGATTCCACTCTTCATTCAGAGTGAATGGAAAATCCGTCGTTGGGTGTACGTTGACCGCAAAGAAAATCGTACAATTTTCAAATAACTTTCCCCTTCGAGGCAAAGCACGTATCGCGTAATATTGCGTGACACGCGGTTTATCCATCGACCAAAGAAAACGTTCTCGAGGTTCTGTTCGAGCCGTGTATCCTACTTTCGATGCAAGGACTCGCCCCGGATACGTGTATCCCAAAAAGAAGAGAAAATTACGATTCGGTATCCGCATTGCTGAGAAACGCGTGGAAAATCGGGTTTCGAAACAGGTCGTTGTTACGCTGCGAATATGGTTTATTGTTGTTACAACTATAAGAGCGCACCGTTGCCGGTGCGCAACGATACAATTATTGCGTGAACGTACGTAATAATAGAGCGTAAATAAGTAATAATAATTAATAATTATTATAATGACTGGTGTTAAATTAATAATTACTCTGTTAGTCGGGTTTCCACGTGTACGAAATGAAACGCGCGAGACGAGACAGCGATCGCCAACGCGGCTCGGAAACACGGCCGCGGGCTACGACAAAGAACAGAGAAAAATTGGGAAGGAGGATCGGTTGGTTGTCGGTCTAACTTCGTCGAATTTCTCCGGGTCCGAGTATACACATCGAATTTTGACTAGCACTGAGTTTGACAAATGTTCCGCCATCGTCGTCGACTGAAGCGGAAACGCGAAGGTACCGGCAACCGATCTTCCCCCCGCGAAACCGAGAATAAGACGAAAATGATAAAACAGCTGGGAATCCTCCCGCGGCACGGTATTGTCGTAATTACACGTGTAACATTCTTTCGTAATAATTGACTGCTTATCGTCGTCCAGGACGCAAGGGACGCTCCTTCGTCGGTTACGTGTCGTAAACGAAGGACCTCCCGCTCGCGAGGACGAATAATGGCAAGAACCTACGGGTTAGGGGGGATCATCAAAAGGAAATGACGCGTGTGATGCTTCGTTTCGATACGTTACTCCTCTTCGAGTATCGTTTACTTGTTTCGTCTCGTCGACACCCTCGAATCGAATCGATTCTAACCTGTCGTTCACCGAACGCCACCGTTTGCCATTCATCGGCTCCTTTCGATCAGAGAACGAAAACGTCGTTCCCTTTCCCCAAGGCGTTATCTTACTTTCTGTTTTGTTTATTTACAGTTATTTATAACGTCACCAACCTCGATTCGAATGCATACTCTTCTCGGGCTGCGATACCGTAGGTCGGATCCGCGACGTAACATTTTCATCGATAAACATTACTCGAGAGTCCCAAGTATAACGTGATATATATAACATGCATGGATTCAACTATCGTTCGCGCCGCGGCGTGATTTTTACTTTATCCATATTTTTCATCTCTTTTTCTGTTTTCAGCTTTGCTTTCGTTCGATCGAGACACGCGACGCGGAACCACTGTTCGCGGCCGATGCTCGTCGACTACGGCTAACCAGCTATCGATACGTTCGCGTAATAGTTTCGCGCTCGTGGCCAGGCACAACGTTGCGTTCCGTGATTTAGACGTCGTTTGGAACGGGTTTCGTTCGAGCCACGACTTCCGATCGCGAAAACTTCCGCCGCGGGAAAGTATCGTAAAAGCGAGATCGTTCGTAACGTTCGATCGAGCTCGAACAGCATCGTCGTACCGTGTCGCGAGCGCCGTTTATATTACTCTACTAATTGCTAAGATAATTACCAACAGTAACGATCATCGTTAACAACGTTCACTTCTCAAGCGTACGATCACCGACGCGAAGGATGGAATCGAGTTCCGGTTCAACCCCTATCGGATAAGTGCTACTTGTAACTGTTTAGAACACTGTTCATGCCCTACTGACTCGACTCTACGTTTCACGAGATGCATGAAGACTTATTACGAAAGTCAGCTAGCGTCGTTTCGAACCGTAAAAATTGTTTCGACGAGACCCTCTGTCGCGGGAGTACATCGAGAGCTTCCTCTTCGTCACGACGTTCGAGCCGTTTATATATTTCTCGTCGAGAAATCGTTTTCGTTTTGTTAATATTAATTCTTTTTTTTTTTTTTTTTTATTCGATGGATCAGTCGTCTGAGCTCGAGGATGAAACACTTATGCGAGAATCTCAGAGACTCGATGAAACGAGATGATTCTTAGACGATGTTGGCCTTGGACACGGAGTTCCCCATCATGACTTTGTTGACGAAATTCACGATGGCCGTCGCGGGCTGTTCCGGCTCCAGTTCCGCGAACACGTGACACTGATTGTCCGACTTGTGGGCTGGTTTTCTCGCCACGAACCCGAAGCAGCGACTGGAAAAATACAGTCAAGTAATATTGGGCTGGAAACGTCGACAAATTGTAACGCGAACCTCGACTTTTACAACTTTGTCTTATGAAAAGGAGTTGCGAGTGAAAAGATTTAAGAAATACTAAGTTAGGTAATAGATCTGTATCCCCAAATCGTGTTATCTATTCTATATTCTACTTCGTGAAGATGAGGCTTAGCTTAATTGTCAAACAAGGAATAAAAAAGGGTATTCAATAGTTCGAAATACATGTTTACCGCAAAAGGTGAAATCTTTCGCGTTCATGGCTCTGGTATAAGAAGGATGATATAAGATTATGGCACAGAAAGTTGTACAAAGGCGAGGATCGTCTGGTTGTCGTTGCACTGTCGCAAGAAATTTCGAGGGATTACTTACTGAGCACTGACAGGTCGTCCGGTTTCTTCGCTGGCGAAATCCCAAATGCGATCTTCTGTGTCCAATCCGCAGTAACTGATGTTGTTCGTTGGATAGTGTCTACGGAAGAAAAGCTTCCGTGCGTTGTCCGTGAGTGTTATTCCCTGCGAGGACACTTTAAAATGAACTATGGTCGCGGCGGGCAGTGGTTTCTGTTCGAACATGGTTGTGACGGCCTTCTTGATGGCCTGAGGCCCGGTCAGCGACTCCGTGTCCATGGTGAAAAGATATAAAACGTTGCACGCTGAAAATAATTACCAATACAATTAAAAACAGTCGACGGTAAGTACTTACACAGCGATAGATTTCCCTTAAGGGTACTCTGGTCCAGAAGAGAATTTTTCAAAGAATCATCGAAAATTGACAACGTGTCATTTTAAATCTACCACCTATTAGTTCTCGATGTAAATAGGAACCATATGTATAGCAAAGATGAAAGGAGAGAATTCGTTTTTAAGGGCGTTTTATCTTCTATTCGATGAAAATTAAAAAATTTTTTCACATAAAAGAGAAGGATATCTTAAGAATTACCATCAAAACACAACTTTCTATACATATAATGCAAAAATTAGAAGAGAAAAAGAAAGTCATTTGATCGATCATGGTAGGGTATACACGAAGTGCCGGTAGGTTTAGTGTTAAAGTAATTTATTTCGCGAAAAGCACCTGTAAAATAGTCGTCTGGGCCAGGATGTACCCTGGAGAAAATTGTTAATGATTTTCCAATCGCTTACCTGCACCCTGCACGAACCACTGTTGCGCGCTGTTCGCGCCCGGTGAATCGAGGGCTCTGGCCGCGGCTTCCGGTTCCGGAAGCAGCAGCTGGCAAGGCAGAGCCATCGCCATTAGGCTGTGCTGGTAAACCAGCGCCGACAGCGAGCTGAAGACTGGCTCGTTCGCGCAACCTTTCAGCCTAACGCCGCGAGAGGTGGGTTCGATCAAAAAGTGCCTGACCAGTTCGCTCGACGGATCTCTGGGGCTGCTCGGGGCGCCTGGAGGCGGAGTTGCTACCTTCAGAGCGAGCCCGAAGGCTCCTGGGAAGGAGTTGCTGTCCCGGACCACGAACGTCCCTGGCGCTTCATCCTTCAGCATCGAGATTGCTGCGAAATATTAAAATTAACTTTTCTCAAAATACTCAAAGGCAGATATCACTTAGTCTGAATTACTTTAGGGCACGCGTTATTTCGTTTAATGTACGAAATGTAAGAATTAAGGGCGAATGATCGAGAAGCAAAGAATCGACCGTGTTTTGAATTTTCTCTTTTCGTTTTTTTCTTTTATCATCGATGGGTGGAATGGTACATTAATATTTGGTATTCTTTGCAGCCGTGAGAATATGTTACACACCTTGCTCGCGAGATATGTTTGGCTTGTACCAGATCCTGCTGGTGTCGCGCACAAATTTAACATTGGCATCGGCTACTTCTTGAGGTTCTGTGTTCGAATGAACGCTCGACCTTCTCGAACCGTAATACTGGACCTGAGGAGACGACTGACCACCGCTGTTTATGGAGGTGTACGATGCGGCACTCTAAAACCCAATAAAAGTACTTGAATCATCCTTCGATAACGAGTATCGCGTAATTATAGGGCAGAAAGTAATGACAAGCAACTTCTAATGGAGATTTACAGTAATGTCTACATTATACGATACGAAGGTTTTCTATTAGAAACAATTGCTGTAGGCTTCTGAAGAACATTGATCGACAGTGGAAGGGAAAAGCCCTGTTTTCTCAATTTAACCAGGTTCAAATTGGCAAACATTTTACGAGATTGACGCGAGGATACGTACCTTCGGACTTTGGGCGAATTCAATGTGAGTCGGTGTACCAGGACTGCGCGAGACAGCTTGCGAATGCGACATCGTCGACTCGTTTATCGGAGAAACAGATCGGTCCTTGCTACAAGGAAGTGATCACACGTATCGTTATAAAGTACATTTCGAGCGGGATCGTTTTCCGTGCAGGCAAACGCGCGTGTGTTCGTGTGTTTGTCAAGTGACTCGTGCAAAGTGGTGTACGCCGTGAGAAAACATCGGAAACATGGTACATACAAGAACGTAAGAAAGATCGAACGGTGAACAGGAAGGAGAAAATATTGACACAGAAAACACAGAGAGAGAAGTATGATAGAGCGAATCGCCAATTACAACCGCTTTGTCTAAAACGATACCACGTCTCACACACGCATATGTACACGCACGATTGCCAAGAAAATATTTGTAGTTAAAACACGAACGGTGCAAATATTATTTTAAACGTTAATCAGCGACAATGAATCCTTTCGTTGCGGTTAAAGATTTATCGTTGGCATCTTTTTGATAAATTCGATCTATGATGTGAGTTTTCTTTTTTTTTATTGTTTCACGCGTTGATGATGCTTGCAAACTCGCTGCATGATGGTATATGCTTTCTAGGTAGTACACGATGCAAGAAGCACGAGCTTTTGTTAGTTCGACAGGTGCAATACACACACGACGTATCTATACGTGACCTCAGTTCTTTCTTCACATCTTAATAATGCTGCAAACTTGTGCAACTGCATCGACCCGTTGATCGCGCGATCATCGCGCTTTGTGCTCAAATTAATTTACAACGATACATTTCATTTGTTCGAGCCATAAGCTTGTAATTAGTTTCTCGGTACGATGCAGTTGCAGTTAAAGTGTACCAATACACACAGTTAGTGGAACGACATTAAACATTCACGGCGCATCCTCGAAATCGACGCGTATCCGTCGCGTCGATCGGTCAACGCCGTCGTTCAGAAAACCAAAATTTTTTCAATCTTCCACGCGTTCCAGTGCTCACAATGATATATTACCTATAGTCGAACGACGCCGATTGGTTAGTGAGCGGCCATCGTTTGTTATGCGTTTGTTTAAGTGGCCCGCTTGCCGGGAAACTCAAGCGTCTAGAATCACGAACATCAATCTGCGTCATAATCGTTGCTCCCTCAACAATGCTCGGATAAACATATTAGTTTTAATCGCGTGTTTGCGTAAATACATGCAAATTGACTATGGGGGAGGATTGAAAAAGGCAATCCAGTATTATCAGACGACAGACCAGAAGCAGACATTTTTCGACGAAATAAAAAAATTTTAAATCGTTCTAAAAAAATTATTTTTGGTTGCAAGGGTCGATTACAATCATTTTTGGTTAATACATATACCCCCGATATCCTATCCACTTTCGAGAAAAAAATTCTAGAAGTTGCGAAATTTTTCGACAAAATTAAAAAATTTCAAATCATTATAAAAAAATTATTTTTGGCTGCAAGAGTCGATTACAATCATTTTTGGTCAATACATATACCCCCGATATCCGATCCATTTTCGAGAAAAAAATTCAAGAAGTTGCGAAATTTTTCAACGAAAATAAAAAATTTCAAATCGCACTAAATAAATTATTTTTATCTAAGGGGGTTGATTACAATTATTTTTGGTGAATAGACATACCCCCGATATCCTACCCGCTTTCGAGAAAAAAATTCTTTATCGAAAATATAACGTGTGGCGAGAAATGTTTCTGTACTTTCACTTTCTGTCTCCTTTCCTCTTATGTTCGCTACTGTAACCTGTTGGTAATGTTACGAGTGGCACGGAAAAAATACATCGGATGTAAAATCTACTCGTATACCTCGTCTGTGATATTACTTTCGTTCTGATGTCAACGCGTTACTTTATCGCTGGAGTTAAGTGTTTCGAAACTTAAACGTTATCAGCGCTAATCGGGGAATGAAACCCATTAACGATTTATGAAAACGAAGTTTTATTGCCTACCTCTGTGTTGTCGGACTCTTGGGTGGAAGTCCCGTTTCCTTCGAGACTTCTCTTCGTTCTTCGATGTAGATCGTTCGTTCGCTTCCATAGTTCCCGACGTTGTTGTTGTTCCCGGCCGTTTCGACGTGGTTCACGTTGTTGTTGTTGTTGTTGTTCACGTTGTAGCTGGTGTTCGACGTGGCGTAAGCGCGATCGGCGGCAAACGTCACCGTTGGCGAGGAGTTGTTGACGTACGGCGTTCGAGGGTGAACCGGAAACGCTGGGGTTTGCGGCCTCGATGCATTGCCGACCATCGCGCTTCCGGGACTGACGCTCCTCTCGGTCCACGATGACGCAGAGTCATTGTGCGACTGCGAATTTTCAACGAATTTTTATCATCACGTCTCGCGGCGACCGACTCGATCGAAAAATGCTGCACGCTTCTAAATCGCTTTGTGCATTCAGCCCAAGCCAGGCGTGCCAAGCATTCTTGGAACATCAATTGAAATTTACAATCCAAAACTCGCGTAAAAATATGCACAAGGAACTTTATTCTACTCTATATAAAATTTTCTCTTTGAACTTGCGAAAACACTGTCTTAATTTCAAAATCTAAAGTTGACGAGGTGCTCTATTTCCAAATGGAATGGCACGATTTTTTACTTTCCTTTCAACAGAGTATTTTAAGATATTTAAATTCACGTATAATTTATACGTTCCAACCGAACAAACGAGCGAAATCACAAACATAAATTTTATTTCTCATAGTTTTATATGACTTCGAGGACACACGGTCGAAGGCAAACAAACTTCGAACATAGAATCATTGATGCAACTACGTAGTACAAACAAGACCTCTTTACGTAGCTATTGAACAGATCACCGGACAAACATTGACATCAGCATCGTCCAGTGTCCATTGAAAATATTATCGAAACCATCGATCCATCATGGGCTTCTTCAAACTTTTCGGTTGCGTGTTATCAAAGTCAACAGCCATGATTTATTGAATTCCAGGTTCCTTGTGCATACGAGGGCGAGAAAAAAACAATATTGTGCAAGTCAAACCACTAAGGATTCCCGCGGGAGTGGGGCTCGTCAGCCGGGACAAACCTGGGTGCAATTCTGCCATGCTTTGGGCGACTGGTTAGGGGAGCAATTAGTGGTGATGGCGTTAGCAACGTGGCCACTGGCAGTTGTCATGGTCGCTGCTGGGCTGATGCTCGCGGGATGATCATTCGCGGACTTGTTAGTCACAGATGGAGGCGAGCGAACGGGCGAAATTTCAGCCAGTGATTTAATGAGGCTCACGAGACGGTCAGTAGCGATCTGAGTGGTCGATTGCTGATCAACGACAGCCAGCAATCCGGCGTCCACGTGATCGATGGTCCTGTCGTTGCTGGTGGTCATGGAGCAGGTCTGATACTCGACGATTCGGTTTCGCGACTCGGGCCGACAGTTTCGCCCGTAATCGTGACCGATCGTGTGCTTCTGTTCCGCGTGACTGTTGCTGGCCAATTGCTGTTGCTGGTGGCGGTGTTCGCGCAGCAACGCGTCGGCGCGTACGAAACTGTCGCTGCGCGACTCTGGCCGCGGCGGCTGTGGTTTCTCCGCGTTAACGAACGTTGCTTGTTGCTGCATTGCTAATCCTAAGGGTTGCGCGGCTGCTAAGCCTGAGCGAGGGGATGTCGGAGGGCTCTGAAAAGCAAGCCAAGCGCTTCATGCTAGAGGGAGGCGTCTACGTGATTACGTGGGGCCGATTTTCTGCCAGCGATAAAAAAAATTACTCGAACTAGTCCGTTAGTAAATTAATCGTATTAATTTATTTTACATTTATTTACAATCGATGGGCGTGAATCGAGTTACCGTTCCAAGACGGAATTCTGTATGATTGATTTGGGAATACAGTCGAACTCGGTTATAACGTAAGTAACTCGTTATATCAGCAATGATTCTTAAGATGAACATCGATCCGGAGTTTGCCGTGTTCATCTTTCGTACAGCGGAGGTGATATTCGACACTGGCTCGAAGGGGGATTCCCCTCAGTTGGGAGGGATAGAAACGTTCAATTTACGAATCACGTCAGGAGTTCATTTTAAGAATCATTACTGTATTTTTTTACTTTTTAATAATTTAATAGATGGGAACTAATATTTTATTCTGAATTCTGAAGAAATTCTTGTTCTATTACTTGCAATGGTATTCTTATATCGTATATTTATATAAATTACAATTAAACACAATTCATCAATCTGTACTTTTGAAACTGCATAATGCTAACCGTAATTTCTTTTATTCTGTTCGACCATGCTCATTATAACCAAGTATAACTGTAATAAAAAGCAGGATATTTACCTCGAATTTGTACATGATTCTCATAATAAATAGAACCAAACGGTGGTGGATGATCGTTCGTAAAAAACACACCGAAAGTGTAGGATAAAAATTTTTCTTACGATGCATTATTTTCGAAAATATCGCCACGCACGTTCGAAGGCGATTTTCTCAAAAGTAGGGACCAGGGAAAAATATTATTGTACATTTTCGGTTTGTTTTTTCTCTCGCAGAATCAGCTGCAGCGATTGGAAGGGAGGCACTAAAAAGGTCTAACAATAAGCTGTACTCCATAAACTAAGGAGCCTATTTCTTGCTATTTAGGATCTAACTGCGGGGCATAACCATAAAATACGGTACCGCAGGAGTTGCTTTTACAGTCGCTATCTATGAGGGACTAAATTGTAGCGTTTGTGCTGCCGCCGTCTCATTGGAGCGGCTTGAAATCGATCGTCCGGTCGTTTCGAATTTATTATTCTTATTATCGATAATTGTTTCAAGCAGTTCGACCCGTTTTAGCGTAACGGGCTGTTTTCCAAGTTGTTCAAGGCAAGTCGATCATAAATGCACATCGTACGAAACAGTTTTTTAAATAGGGAAAAGTGAACGTAAACATTATACTAGTTCCAACACTGGCGGTAAAGGTAAATTTACTTTACGTATGTACGAAATTTCTTGAAGATTGGTTCATCATTGTCAACGTTTACGAACATTAAATCTGAAATTTAGCTTTGAAATCTGACATTCATTGGTTAATTTAATCTTCAAATTTCACTTCGATAATTCAGAAACATGCTACACGCGCTTCGAACCGTAATAAAATTCAGCGAAGAAAGATCGATTTGTTTGAACGTCGAAAGTGGAAGGTTTCCTCTTAGGTTGAATGTGTATAGTGTTCGAAACGATCATAGAACGATCGACTCCAGCGAACCAAGAGCCAGGACTGTTTTTGCTGGCGCGGGAAAAGCACTTACCTGACTGTCGCTGTATTTGCGGCACTCGTAAGCCCGTTTCACGGACATGAAGGGACGTTCGTTCACACTTTCTGCTCGTGGTCGTCCCAGAGTGCCGGCCCCGACGGTACCGTTGTACTTCCGGCTGCTCGATCGTTGCGGAAGCAGAGGACTTGCTGGCGCGGAGGTGTATGGAAGCGGTCTCGATTGCATCTAAATTAATTAATATACTAACGTCTTTATCACGCTACACTTTGGAACAGGCATGCCACCCTCTTATTTATTTATAAATTTTTTATTTTCATTTATGTTTATTTGTTACGTGACCATTTGATTGTATTGGTATAACCGGGGAAAATGACTTTCATAATATTCGGTATTTTTATAAAATAATTATACAGAATGTCTTATGCAAATGTCTTATGAAATTTTGAAAATTGTTAGAGATAAAAAAAAATGTCAGACGATAAAATTTAATGGTATTATGTAATCTTCGTTACTACTTTTATGTATTCTTATGCATCGATGTACTCGCGAAGGGCAACCGCATCCTTTGTTTAAATACAATTGTATAATTTTTCTTGCATAATTCGTTCTGCGTATAAAACTATGGTAATATGATCGTAAAGTGAACAGTTCATGACATACTATATATCAACTTCCCTAGTAATGCGTGTACTTTGATACTAGCGAACATGAATAAGGACGTAGAGATAAGAAACCGCTTATAGGTACATACGTATTATTTAGAAAATTGATACATGTCGTGAACTGTTTAATTAACGATCGTATTACCATAATACTACCACATAAAACAAGGGATGCAATTGCAATTTACAAGTGCATTAATGCACAAGAATGTGCAAGAGAAATATAAAATATATTGTATTTTTAAAATTTTTATTCTTCAAATTGCAAATTGCCCCTCGAACAGAAATGAGTATGGTTACTAGTAGGGTTCAATGTAATGAACTGTATATATGCATAATGTTTCAAGATTGGGGGTACAAATAATGCAGAGTAGTAGAACTCATTATAAAAAACAAAAAAGTCTTGATAAACGTATGCTCGAGAATGAATCTTAGAATTTTGTAATTTGTAAGCCAATCTTCATGCAATTATATAGGTTCTACGTAGTATAATACAATACATAATGACGTAATACACTTCTTCGGCACTTACCTGTTATTATCGCAATAGCTTTACCCTGGATTTAACGATAACGTCAAATGGCAGTCAATATTTACGATAAGATCGAATCAAGCAAACGAAACTAACCCAGCACGCTACACGTAACATTCAAAATTATCTATACTTAACTAGTTCTACAAAATAGAACTGAATGTTAAAAATGGTTCATTGGCGGGCATATGCACGTTCACTAAGGCTGTTTCGTTGTTCTCAATGAGTTCTATCAATCTGCAGAGCCTGTACTTATAATTCAAAAATTATTTCTTATATGTCCATGAATTAATTAACCCTTGGGGGGTTCTACATTCAATTATAGAACGTTCTTGCTGCTCATAAATCAAGAAGGTTATATCACAAAAGTAATGCTTCTGTATAAGTTTGGAGTTGTTTGTCGCAAGTCATCGCATTACGAGATCTATCATTACATTAAGAACGTACGAACATCTCTTTTATAACTGTCTACTTTTAGAACTAGTAAAACATTTCTTACGGAACTTCACAGGCAATTTGTTTAAATTGGATTCCCTAATCGATAATGCTTTGCAACAGAAGGTTAAATGCTTTTAACATGCACCGAAAGACATTTCAGAACTGGAATCGAATCGCTAAGTTGAACAGGACGATTGATACAATGTGACCGATGTGTAACGTGACATTATTAATACAGAAAAAAGTATTAATAGGCGGACATCTTGTACATATTTTTAAAGCGTATGGTTAAAATTTAATAGGGTAAATGTAATAGTTTAGATCCACGAGCTTCGTTAATCTGATAAAAAAGTCTTTGTCACATTTCTCGAAACAATTTTCTCTATAAACGGTTCGTGGTTCGAAGAGAACGCGATCGATCACTTTCTACAAATCGTCGTGTACCCGAAATTCAACTCGACCCGTTTTTCTCACCTGTCCACTGACGGAATTCGGTATCCACGCGTCGTCGTCATCGTCGAGGACCGCAGAATCGCTCGCGTATCCATCGTGCCTCAACCTACCCCTCTGCAAGCTCCGCAGCTCCCCGATCACGCGGTTTCCGGTTTCCTGCCGCCACAGCTTCCCCGGATTCCTTTCGTCCCTTCTCGCGGCAAGTTTCAATTGCTGTTGCCTCAGCCACGATAATCTGACGAACACAGCAAGAATCACGGTAAAACTTTCTCACTTTCCGTCCATTGTAGTCGCAACGAGCCATTTACATTTCGTACTTTTGTTCATCGTCGAAGAAACTACTCGAAAATGAATGGTCTGAATTATAAAAGAGATACCATATAAATTATATACATTAAACGATATTGAAATATTGGTCTTTTCGATGGATGTTTACACACAGCGATACGTGAGTGTCTTTCAGTTGGGTTACAAATGCTCAACTTACGGGAGCTTTGTAGAGGGTTGCCTCACCCCCTAAATATAATAAATCGTATCTTACTTTATTTCTTATAATTTTGAGAATTGAAATGTCCCATAAATACGTAAACATCCGTCTAATGGTTACTGCAGAATAGAACGACGATTCCTTGGTTTTGGGGCAGGGGAGATGCGCGTGATTCTTGGTCACCTGTCGCGTGATAAGCATCACCGTGTCCGTGGATCAGATGTTTTCGTCCTGTACAGCTCTCGCTTTCGCGTTCTGTCTAGCGGACTCGAGTTACTGGCAGATGAAAATACGAGAAGCTACTTTCACAAGGGGTTGGAGAGGGGAAACCAAGACGCGCGAGTCGTGTAACAAAGACTCGTTAGAACAGCAACGAACCGGCCCTGCCACGGTTAGCAGTCGGAAGAGGGCCCAGAATCAGGACCTCCTACCGCGATAGATCCCGAGATAATTGCATCCTGATCGACGAGGTCGCTTCGGGCCGTCGATTCCCAGCCGCGTTTCGCTTTCCACCCTAATAACGAATGGATAGCGAACGGACGCGACATCGTTCCGACCATGATCGCGGCCAGTTCCGTTTACGAGCCACGAAATTTTATTTCTATCAGCGTTTACCTTCTTAACACGAAGTTTCCAGCTGATTTGTAAAAGGAAAAGTGTAAAGAAAGAGAACAAATCGAAAATGAAGAATCAAATTTTTTCGTTCGAGGTGCAACGAGAGCGCAACTTGGACTTTAACGTAAGTAGAAACAGTGGGTAGCGGGCAGACAAACCAAGAGTAGCTCGTATTCAATGGTACGCATTCGAACGAAGCCTTAGATGGAATGATATTATTCTTTATTTTTTATTTGTTTTTTTTCAAGTAGGATCATTCCTTTTACTTTTTGCAGATCCTAGTACTAATAAAAATAGAATATAATTGGTACGAAACTCCTGGTTATTTGTACGCTTATTTGATACCAATTGTTTTTCTTTAAACTAAACGATACGTAATTATTTAATAATTTATAACTCACAACTAATTTTCGTAAAGTAGATGATTAATTATATATTATTAATCAGTATCTGTCAGTCGTTAATCCCTCTTGTCCTATGCTCCCCATACTTGGCAATGAAATATACGTTTCTGAGCATAGTCAGCATAGTTTCAGCGGCGAAAGTACGCCTATTTTCACCCGTTCTACAATTTCCTTCGCGCGGAACGGTTGCGTATTACGAACAGCGAAATCATCGGAAAATTAATCTGTTTCCTCTCTTGGTAGAACGAGCTTATTGGTAATAAATGAGTCCTGCTTGGGTGAAGGATGCCGGGCGAACGACGTTAATGGTTCGACTCGGTTAAAAGACGAACGAAACGGCTGGCGAGATGTTTTTCGCGAAGGATTTAGCTACAGAACCACGTGGACGGAAAGTTAATTTATCGTTTCGCGGAACGCCAGTTCAACCCGGCATTACAAATTAATTTCGCGGAGGAGACGCTCGGATACGACGAAGTCGTGTAAATTGAGCCCGCGACGAAGCCATTCTTTGAAAAAATAATGAACTTGGAACGATCGATCAATCTCGGAGATTACTTAAAATAAGGAGTACAGAATCGTAGATCTATCGATTACGAGATACAGTGTTCCTAAAATAAAATAAGGGATGCTGAGAAGTTCTCGGTTCGGAAATACGAAACTAGAATACGAGTATGGAGATGAAATTTTTACCATCTATTTCGCTATAAACTAAATCGACGATCCGGATATTTTCTCTTGAAAGTAGAAACTACCGTATCGTGTGTTCCTTTATATCAATTTAGAAGAAACGAGAGCGGTCCTTAATGGCTCCAATTCAAGGTATATAAATCGTTCCATGGCTCGCTCGCGAGCAAACTGGAGACCCCTATTTTGTCTCTGAAAAACGAGAAACAGTCTTCTATCTTGTTATTTCGATTTAACAAAAAGGTACAAGGTAGGTTCGGTGCCGGGCAAAGGTTCGAGAAATGACAAAATAGTGGACGGTCCGCCGGAGCATAATGATGTGGCGTTCACCGTCGAGGAGCCACATTTTCCGCTTCTCGGTACGGTGGATCCTCGCGAATCGAAAAGGAAGACTGCATCGGAATAATGCAACAGCCGAAAGCTAGGGAAAGAGTGCCGGGCTCGGACCGTCCGGAAAGGACGACGGAAATACGAGCTCGCGGCGGAAAATTGTACGAGGCTTTACGAGCCGCTTTTGTGCTCCTGGTTCTACTTCGAACGACTTCCGCATCCGACTGTCGTTTCTCTGGACTAACGGGATACCGCGGGAACGGAGAAATTGCCAGCGGGGAAGAAATACGCTTGGAACAGCGGGAGATTACAAAGAAGACGAAGAATGGACCGGCGAACGGGAAAGGGTGGACTCGACGCGGCCGATTTAGCGCGTCTCGCCCGTTCTATATTTATAATTATGTCAGAGGGCGAGCAGAGGAGCCCAGAAATAGGAGTCTCTCTTCTCACTCGAAAGCTTTTTTTTTTAACAGAGACATTATCGTGGAAATACTTAAAATTCCAACGACGACATCTTCCTCGTCGACCCATTTCGAAACGAGTTTTCTTTGAGTTTCGCATCCTCGATCTTTAGGTCACGAGATGACCCGTTCGAGAAATGCGATTTGTTTTTTTTTTTTGGATAACAGTTTTCCGTGAATTTTTATTGTTCGAGTACTGATCGAGTATTTTGTTACTGTCGCGGCGACAGTTTCCGCGCTCGCCAGCAGAGGGCTACGCTCAACCTTTCTTTCTCGCAAGCGATCGACCGATCATGTATTCCTACATATACACGTTGATGAGTGCACTATTTTGCTTACTTCCTCCAGGGGTGCATCTTTTATATATTGATTTCAAAAATCATCAAAACAACTTTCCACTTAAAAATAACTAGATCTTCGACGAAGTTTCTCAACGACTAAAATTGAATAACTTTTTAGGGGCACATTTACATATGAATTAGAAAAGTTACCGAACTCGAAGACAAATTTCAAGGTACCTTCCAGCTTGGGACTCAACCTCGTCGACCCAACGTGTCTCGCCTCGCGTTCTTGGTTTAGATTTTCCAATCGCGTGGAATAACGTTTCTATCGTTTCGATGAAAATTACGGTATACGTTCGGCAGTTTTAACGATTGTTTCCGAGGAAACGGCTCCCGTAGAAGGAGCTTCGACAGCTGCGCGAGGAGAACCTGAAAACCAAGAGACGAGGAACGAACGGTGTGCGTAGCCCCGAAAGGAGAACTTCTTTGCGACTGAGAAAGCAGACCTGCCAAACGTCTGTCGACCTCTTCGACCATAAACGTCGCCTGTTTCTCCATCGTAGCGGACCCGTGCGGTTTTTCATAAATATCCGGGCGAAACTCGGTGGTTTCGCAGGCTGTGTCTCGGATAGAACGGAGGAGGACGTTTATTTTCACGGTTCTCGGTGGGACGGGCCGATACACAAAACGGGTCGTATTTTACGGCGACGCGGCTATCCCCGGAGTTCGATGAACCTCGTCCAGGCAAAACCACAGTTAACAAACTCGTTAAACGCGGACCCCCGCTTTCTCCTCCGTTCGGATAAGATATCGATACGGAGGAAGGAGGGAGCCTCCTCGGTCAATGGGCGATCGAAATTGCCGAAATCGCACGCAACAGGTCCTATTTACACGCGAGAACTACCATGTTTAACCCTTAAATAGAGGTACCTCTGCTAGAAATCACTGCATTGCTGTCAATGTAAATTAATATTCAAGCTGATTTTTAGAGTTTGACAAATTTGTATCTCAAATAAAAATTCATTGTAAAAACTATGGACTCGAAGAATTTATTTCAGTAACATCTCTAGAAAAGTGTTCTTTTCCCATAGCATCCTATGCTTTTCTCTTCATACCTCCAAACTGTGTAAAATTATTTCCATTATCAGATCTTCTGTTACTGACAAAAAAAAAAAAAATTAAGAGGCTGACAGAGTATCTAGCTACGAAACAAATATGCATCTATATTACTCTCTTATTGCAGTGGAATCTGGCTTTGTATTGCACGCTAAATTCGAGTAACTGTCTCTAAGTGAATTTAAAATGTCATTAGTGTACAAATGTGGTCACAGATCCTAGAATCGTTCAAACTTGACGACCCAAATTACTTCCCAGTACAATTGGGGTTAAAAGTTCAGCTGGATTCCGTACTCTCTCGTCCAAACATCCCTGAATTTTCCTCGGAGACAGCCAAATGGTAATGAATCGGTATAACGTGTATTGGGTAGTAATTCGTACACGGTTACATGACAGCTAGTGAGAATCCAACTTCGAGTGGTTCTCCCACCCGAACGACGCCATGCGACGCGATTAAGAAAAAAGTCACGGATCGAGGATCACGTAGCAGGCGACTGTCATGAGGCAATTGGCGTGACCAATCGCCAATCGATCGGTTGTTTGAAGCGTTGGTAGAAGAAGTAGGTATACAATGTAGACGCGCGGGCGATCGGCGAGTGATAATTTTTCCGATCGCATAACAGCCGCGTGGTTCGCGTGGGAGGACGACTTAATCGATTCTCAGCTGCTCACGAGTCGACTCCGCGATTCGGATTCGAGAGAATCAGGGCAAACATATTTATACAGACACTTAACTCGCAGGTCGGGCAATAATTTAAGTAGTGAATTCTGTAGGTCAAAATAAGACGGAGCTGAAAAAATAACGATTCTGCATCCGAGCCTCTGTGTTTCACGACACACGACCCGTACTGAACGTGTTAATAATAAAAATTGATAATAGAAATAATATCTTTGAAATTTTTCACGACTGCAATATAGGTTCGACGACTCACAGGTTGGACAGTACAAATTCATCGATGGATTGTAATTAGCGAATGAATTCGTTACAAGTCCTTGATGACATGTTTCACAATGATGAGACTACTTACTGTCATCAAGTTTTATCTATTAAAATCAACATATTTTTACATTCACGAGGTATTCGTAATACAAGTCTATTCTTTCTCCTGGCCATTTCTTGTACGAACAAATTTAAACAAAATTAAATAGTACACGTTTGAAAAATTATTTGAAATTGAATCGTACGCCAATGGGTTAAATTACGAGTGAATTTGGAATCGTAATTCGTTAGTTTCTCGCTCTGAAAGCTGTGCCCCAGTCTTATCCTTTTTTGAGAGGGAAACCTAAGGTGTCCAAGATTCATGCTGGTCTCGGGTGTATTCGTTTTGTATGGTGTCTTGTTTTTCATCGGGCTGGTGCATCGGACGCGCCAGGATGACAAATCGGCGCGTCGACAACGGCGGTTGCTCGCAATATCCATCCGGCGACCGCGAACCTCGTATTTCATAACGCGATACGAAGCGACGCGTCGGTTCCCGCGCGTCTACCGACGAGCTAACTTTTCTCTTTCAACCCGGCCTGGCATCGCGAACGACAATGACTCACGGCGACCGCGTTCGCCATTCCCGGTAGAAAATACGCCGCGAGTGCTGTAACAGCGTCCGCGTATGGTAGACAATTTATTAATTGTCCCTCGTCGGCGTCGACCGCTTTTCCTCGTCTCCCTTTCGCGCGAATCGTCTTTCTCGCGCGCGGCTCTTTTGCGGCGCCCGATTCGGCCCGACCCGTTGCGACAAGCGAGCCTGCGCGGCCAACGCGATCGTTAGGACCCAGAATCGTGACACCGAGCTCGACAAAAGCGCAAAAATCACCGTTCAACCTATCAACGTCGAACCAAAACATTTCATACAATTATAATATAAAGAAATTAAAATTTGACGTTACTTATTTTTTTCTGTCAACGCATCGACTTGAGAATTAATCCTTGAACATGGCTGACGTGGCAGTTAAAGTATCAAAAAGTAATAGAGACAAACAGCAATCAATTTTATTTATTTTCCTCCATCTGGACCATTTTTTTTTAAATTTGTAATCTATTCTATGGTATATGACAATATATCCAGAAGAACCGACTGGGACCATTTTGCGACAGAAACTGTATGACGTCTGAAATAAATGTGACTATAGATCTTCGAAAGAATGTTTTACATTTTATTTAATTTTACAGTCGAGCAGAAAGTGAAGTAAAGTTCCGTGAAAACTAGTAACCAAAATCGATTAGAAATATTATAGTTTGCAAGATATATCTTACAAACAATTACAACGTCCACTGTTCCATAAATGAACGCTCGAAAAGAAAACTCGAAAGTCGTAAAATGTATCGGACGTGGAACGATAATGGTAACTTTGGCAGCCCTGAACCGAACGTTCTGCCAGCTAAACGGCCCACATGTTCTTTCCCGTTTCCCGTCGCGCCAAGTACCGTGAAAACTCGCCTAATCTCTCGTTTCACAATACGCGCACCGCGCGATACACATCGAGCGTGATGAAACGCGCCCCGACGAACGACGAAACGTTCCTTGACGTATTATTAGACGGTCCGCGCATTTAATTACGGGATTTGTTATACCGGGTGAAGTTGACGTTAACGTTCGCGGGAACGTTGCCAAAAAAAAGAAGTCTGTAATCAGTCTGGCAGGTATATATAGGGGCGGACGGAAGCGCTGCAGATTCGTTGGTAATGATGGGGTACTATTAATCGAGACTGGCATGAGTCAGACATCGCTTGCCGGTTTTTCGAGCGTTCCATTGCGAAATTTCTGTTCCTGGCTCTAACCGTACGCCACCATATGCGTTCACCGTAACTTTTAATCATTTTTCGATACGAGGGGGAATAAAGTTTAATCGAGTCGTTAATATTCTCCAATTTTCGATTCGTGTTTTGAACATTATTTCTGACGGTTCTGCTCCACTGAATTCCTGGCAACAGTTTTCAGTATATTTGGACTGTAACGCCGCGTTTATTATAGTCAAACTCGACATTTTCATTTAAAATCATTAGCTTGATTTCTCTATTTTTAAACCATAATTTGAGCAAACATTTTGACCATTGAACCCCGGGTAGTTTCCTGGACGCTCTTGTATATTTAATTCAATTTTCAAAAAATATTTGTATCCTTCGCATCGACTTACCATGTACGTTCTATTATTTTTAAAAGTAGCATAGATCGAATCAAAATTATTTTAAATCGTAGCAGAGATAAAAAAGTTTTGCTCACCCATCGACGTGGTCCGAACTGTTCTTGACGGGCCCGTTGGCGAATTCTGGCGGTGGATCCGGCGTGTTGGGGCTCAAAGGGCTGATGGGTCTCCTCGAGTTCTCCCCGAGGATGTCCTCGAAGTCCACGACGGGCGCCACGCCGCGCACGGAAGCCTTTCTGACCAGAGACGGCGACGAAAGTTTCTGATGTTTGATCATGTCCGTGGTAGCGCCGTAGGAAAACGGTTGGCTGGTCTGTCTGGCGTGATAGGGGATGTCCTCGTCGATGAAATCTATGTTCCCGGGCGGCGAGAACGAGTCTGTGTGCTTTCTGTATGAGTCGTTCGAGGACTCGGAGATTTTTCGATCGGGCGACACGCGATACTCGTACTCCTCCCTTCGGTGCTCGATTTTTCCTGGCTCTCGATACTCGTTCTTCAGAGTGCTGTAGCTGCTGCTCGAGTTGTACGGCGGGCTGGACTCCTTGCCAGCACTGTAGCTCCTGTACGAGTCCTTCAGGGTGGAATACGTCGACGGGGTATGGCTGCTCGCGTAGCTGCGGGTCTCTTGAATGTACATCTTCTCGCTCCTGTCCGTTCTGTAGTCCTCCGACGGAGGATCCGGCATCGACTGCGAGCGAACAGAAATACTTTCTTACCGTGTCTTTGGATTCTTCAGTATTTTTAGGAGGGATTCCGGCCCGAGGACGGACAAAAAGATGCGACTCGAGCAAATCTCCCGTTGTTCTGGGATTCTATGCTCAACGAGGGGGGAGATTTTATACGAGGTCGAATTCAAAGTTCGAGAGACGGATATCGAAGAAAAATTACTTATCGAATCTACTTGCGCGATGATGAGAATATAAAAATAGGGAGTCTAATAAAATATTTCAGGTTTAACGCGATCAATGCCATACGAAGATCGCATAATTCTTTGCGGGGCTAAAATTTTGATTTTAGATCATCGTAAACTGCATAATCTAAAATTTGTTTTAGTGAAACTTGCAAATTCTGCTCAAACGTATTTCTCTCAACGTCCCAACTTGGGAATTAATTTTTCTAGTTGCGTCAGTCAAAGTGTTAACGGTGCTATCGATTGTCCAATTCCATCTCGGTTTTAGAGCCTTCTAAGTCTCAAGGAATCAAATTGTGGACAATTTTCTGATTTAACAAAACTAGTTGTTTTTTCTCGAGCTAAGAAAAGGGAGGTTTTGAGGAAAGAATCTCTTGCAAGAGGCTCGTTTTCATCGTGGTAGCGATTACAGGGAAGGGAACGTACCTCGACAGTAAGCATCATATCGTGGAGGAGCTTGTCAAGATCACCATGAGCCTGATTATCCGGCTCTGGCTCAGGCGGACTAGGTCGCTGTGGCGGAGCGCTGCTGATGCCGCTGTCCATGGAAACCGTCAATGGTGAACCACGGGCACCACCGGCAGCACCCTGGTGTACCACAGCGTACAAAGATCCATCTATGGGACCGCAGGTGTAACCCAATCCGCGAGGTGACGTCTGAACGGAGGAACTTGAAGGTGGCGGCGGTGATAATGGTGTTTCTCGTCCTTCTGAATAAAAATTTCACGATCAGATTAAATTTCTCGGCGGACACCGCGGCGACACGTACACGAATACAATTTTTCCCAGAAATTGGAGCAAAGAAACAAGCAAACGTCTTCGCTTGGTACTTTAGCGATTCTTTCTCCTATCTTAATGCAGCAACTGCCAAACCAAGCAAAATTTTCCACGAAATCGAGTTTTTGGGTTTAGACAATTGGAAACTAGCGTACCTACAATTTTCAAGAGTCTTATCTAGATTTATTTTTTACATTTTTTGTGTTACATGAATGAGTCGAGTATGAAGTATTTGTATACTTTAATATACTCTAATGTAAACACTAATAGACTTAAAATTGATTAGAAACATAATGAAAATATCTTTACGATTCGCGGAACTTTGATGAAAAAATTGAATTTTATTCGAAAGCACCAGAACTTATGGCCCAACAAGTTGTAACAGAATTGTTTATACCTGAAAGAATTAAAAAACCGCGTCCAGTTTTTCAGTGAACAGTCTCGAGTGTCCGTTTTTAGGGCTCCCAAATAGGGAGACCACTTAAATCGCGTAATCGCATAATTTTTTACAAACACCGTAGAACAAAGAGACTCGTTAAGAAAGAACAATCGACTGTAAATCGTTTACCGTTGAAGTTCCACGGATTAATTGCAAGGAGGAGGCTAACAACCGTCCAGTCTCTATATAGCCCTTTCTCCTTCGAGAACGTCGCGGCAATTTAACGCTAATCCGTGTTGTTATGTCACGCTTGAATAATTCACGTGCTAGCAACCGGACTGACGTAATCCTTGCGGTAGGTTATCCGCGAGCGGAGGTCGAGGAAAGTCGAAGTTCGCGGGCCAACGGAAAGAAGAATTCACGCGACGACGTCCGGGAACGAGATATCGGGGGTTTTATCTGGATTTCCAGAAATCCCCCTCGCGTAATGGCGACGACCATCTTAAGACACCATTCCGAGAACGTCTCTTCCGTTTACGAACCACTAAAATACATCTCCCGAGAGCCGTTCGTAATCCAAATATTAACCCTAGTTGGCGCGGTGAGGTCAGAGCGAGCCCACTTATTTGCATAATCCACATCACGAAACTATACCTAAAAAGTAGATTCTGATCGAACTAATTCCAGTCGACTACCCCACGTTCGATCTTGCATTTTAATTCTGTAAATTCCTGGGAACGTTAAAATAGTAGGTGTCAGATTATTCAAATACGAACCTTGAGTATAAGCTTATTATTACAAATAATATCTCGACGAATAGAGAGGTTGGGACGTTTCTAGGCATCTTGAACATTGTTAAATAGGTACAATGTATTCAAGAAAAAAACTTGGATACGTCTAAAGATTCCGTTGATCGGTGAAAACATGGAACTCGCAGTCCCTCCGCGTCTGCTGTCAATTAAAGATGAATTTTACGAAGTGAATATTTTGAATAATCACACGAGACAGGATCGAGAGATGCTATTTCAAGAATCAGAACCGGCCATACAAGATTTACCGACTCGTACCTGTTTAAAAAAAATGGTACTCCGATACGCGAAACGCGCAACATCAAAATTACCTTGGCTCACCCCATCCTTCATTGCAGCATATTTGCTTGCGATACGAAGATTTTATCTTCGTAAAGGATCAAACTGAACTGTTCCAAAAACTGTCAATGTTATTATACGTAAACGATTGTCACAAATTTGTGTAAAAGAGTCGGTTTTCTTCGATCTCCAGCCGCGTCGCTTAGGTTTAAACAACGGAAAATTACGCAATGATATCATCAGGGGTATTTAAACGCGTCTCCCCAGCGATTAATTTAAGAAAATTGGGTCAGAACGTAACTAAATGTTTCTTTGCCTATTGAAAACGAACTAGCGAGGACGCAAAAATGCGAAGGACACCGGGTAGATGCAACAGGGTCCGTGCAAGGGATCTCATCTGAATTGAATCCGTAACGGCGCTATCTGTACGACGCATCGCGGCAGGTATAAATCATTTTTATTCGAGCGTTTCTCGCCGATTCTATTCGCGAGCCAGAGGCAGGCTCATCAATGACGTCCAATCTCGCTTCGCCGGCAAATGGAACGCATTTAACACCCGCACGCAAACATATACACACACACATACACACCCAATGAGAAACGTATCGCCGAGAAACAGCGAGCGTGTTGCCGTTTGCCGACCGTCGATCGAGATCAACAGATTATTACCAACGCGTACAGCCACTTTCGGAGGCTGATGAGAAGAAGAATCTAAATGGCGTCGAGTGCCACGGCCGTCGAATGCGTGTCGAGGAGAGAACCAACGACGCAGTAAATCCCGCGAATATTTGCGAAACGCGATAAGCAGGGAGCTGTTATAACACTGATACCTTTATCGCCAACGGTGACTACGACCATGGAATACGCACGGTTCGCACCTGCGATAAATTTCACCGTGAACGACTTTAAACGACGGGCAAAAATTCCGTTCGTTTCTGGTTGAGTTTTTTCTGGTTGATTCCCGTTAAATTTCATACGGCAACTATCGTCGTTCGATGATGCATGGGTAAATTTAATATTAATTTTATATTAATTTTCATTATTTTCAAAAGATTTACTACGCGTTTCAATCATCGAAGTTGCTAAGAAACGTTTTTAAAAGAATGCCCGATTATTGTCCCCTATCAGACTCAAGTTGATTGAAATCATACGTATTTTCAGACTTCTTGAAATACAAGGAAATTGAGACAGTATTGGAAACTTGTGTTAATTTTTCAGCGACGTTCAAAGTGTCGAAATTCCACCATTTTATAGTAAAAACGCTTTAAAAAATGATTTGAGTTCGTACAAGTGCAAATTCGTATTTTATAAACTTCCAAACTCGCGAAATATAAATAATTACCTAAACATTAGAATTTCCTTCGCGGTGTACAGACTTTTACCATAAACGTCAGAAGGATAACGTAAACGAAATACAGCGTTTCGAACTAATTGGACACCACCTACAGAGGGACCACCTCGGATGTGTTCTCAGAAGGAAGTCGCCCGAGGGCAGAATTTGGGAGTTCGGTGGATCTAATTTAAAGGAGATCCCCATCGACGTGGAGCGAAAGAGACGCCTACGGGTAAGGTGCCGCATCCTCGAGTTGTGTGTTTGGAGACGTCAATTAAGGCATCCTGAATCCTCCAACTAAAACGCCGTTTAGCTTCGAACGGAACCAAATTTCGTTGGCTTACTCTTACGAGGAACATTATCCAATTATCCTGAATACTATTTTGTTCCCCTTTAAGTACACCGTTGAGTATTAAAATCAACGGTGGGTACGATCTACTCCCGACCTACCCGTGCTCCCGGAATTCTTGACGAGCATCTTTCGATGATCAAAAATAATTTTTCAATCTCAGGAATTGCTAACCCTTAAATTCATCATTCGGAAGCAAACGTGTTTTCACATTTTTGGAATATGGAAATAATTTAGTGCAAGATGTTTTTTACTACAAAATGTCTGTTAGTATCATGATCATTTATCTCGATAAACGGTGGTAAGACAACAACAGAGAAAACTCACTAATCACTCTAGCACTGACGCGAACACCGTCGAGTGGATCCAGCCGATCTACGACGAGCACTTAACACTGCTAGCTGCAGCTGCGACTGCGACTCTCGTAGATCGTCCAAGGGATAACGATGTCGCCGTCGGCCAATAGTTGCTCGCGATACGCGCGGATTTATTGCGCCAAATGATACGTCCACGCAACGATTACGTTTCTCTGCTCGTCCCGTTGCTGGGACTCGCGGATCTCCGCCGTTTCCTTTTGCATCCGCGCGCATCGACGAAAATACCGATCAACGCCAAGGACGGAATCGATCGAGCGCGACTTATTGTGTGGCTTCGACTCTCGATTCACGGCTAATGATCCGACGGGTTCGATGGTTACGCACCGATTATTCCTCGACTCGAAACACTCGCCAAACGTCGAACTCCGGCGGAGCTATGGTAAATAAATCGATGATTCTATTTTAAAAAGAGAAACAAACAAATTGCATCGAATTATGATTCCCTCGAAGCTATTTAATTTTTCAGTATCGACTGGATAAATAAGATCGACTAAATATGAACGTTTGTTCGTTTTTGCAGAGTGTAAAATTGTTGATTATAAGAATGAACGAAGTGAATAGTAGGGCGTCTCTGTGAATAAATTCGCGTATAGTCGGTTATGAGGAATATCCTCCGATGATTTTATTCGTACGATAACACAGGAGAATTCAGTGAGAAGAAGAAGAAGCAGCGATATCAGGGAATGATTTGCGGTACGCGCCATTAAATCGGGTTAATAGAGGAAGCGATAAACCGTATCTTCTCGAAGAGAGACGAGTAGCGAGCCGGATAAAGCGTTCTCCAGCCACACGCGTCGGAAACGGTCGACGAAACGGTCGTCTTCGCGAGCACCAGGCGTCGTAAACAATTGCACTTAAATATCGCGGTTGCGTGCTCGCTGCACTCCGCTAAGTAAACGATGAAATTAATGGTGACCGAACAACGAGGATCGCCTGATGTGTACTCAGCGACGCGGTTCGCCTAACGACCGCGATCTAATTTCATTTCGCACTCTTTAACGCCACTAGTATGCACATTTTATGCGCCCGGGACACTCGTTACCGTCTGAGAAATATGTTTACGAAAACGTTTCTCTGGCATTTATGGGAAACACCATGCTTCTCCAAGTGGCTGTGACGTTTAACGAGACACGGCGCTGCTTGCAACGAGATACACTTTGGTTCGAAAGCAAAGATACACGTATTTTTTTCTTTTTTCGAAAACCGATGCAAGTATCAATTTTCTTACGTTGCTTTCAATGTTTTTCCATTTGATAGCGTAAGCGGATACAATTTTACATTATTTGGTTTTCTCTTTATTCATTATGTTGCAACCATAGATTTTTTATTTGATCTGACCTGTTCCAGGCGTGGAACTACCTTAAAAATTTCCGTTCGATTAGAAAGTTTACTTTAAGTCAAATCGCA